GAAACGTGGATCAACTACGAGAACATTAAACGCAACAATCAATGGCTATCTGCTGGGCAGACCCCTCAAACCACTCCCAAACCTGATATCCATGGGAAGAAGATAATGCTCTGTTGCTGGTGGAACTTCAAGGGATTGGTGCATTATAAAGTGCTGAAACCTGGCCAAACCGTCGATGCTGATCTTTATTCGAAGCAATTAATGAGAGTTAACGAGTCTTTGAAGAAATTGGGGCTCAAACCGGAGAGAGTCAGATTTTTACACGACAACGCAAAACCTCACACTGCAAAGATCACTTATAAGAAAATCGAGGAACTTGGCTGGAAAGTTTTGCCCCACGTGTCTTATTCACCTGATCTGGCTCCTTCAGATTACTTTTTGTTTCGGTCGCTGAAGCACTTTTTGGAGGGAGAAAAGTTCGATGATCATGCTCAGGTCATAAAAGCAGTGAATGACTACTTCGCCTCAAAAACTCCCAAGTTCTTCGAGGATGGGATCTGGGATTTGCGCAGAAGATGGGAAGAAGTCATAGATACTAATGGAGAATACCTTTCGAATTGAAAGCTCTTCTTTTGTGTTTTTTTGAAATAAATGATTTGTTACATAAACGCGTCATTATTAAGTTGCCAACCTAATAAAAGTGTTTTTTTTATCCGGACAGACAAGACCTTGACTAGGCCAGTCAAGGTGCCCTAGTTAGACTGGCAGTCTAACTAGGAAAAGGCACCAGGCCAAGGTGGCCTTTTGATGCGCATCCAGTGTATTTTATAGAGCTTTGAATAGGGATTCCGAATCCGCTTTTAGTTTTTCCAATGGAGCTCTTTATCGGAAGATATCTGGAATCAAAGTTTAGGTCAGTTTATGTCAGTTTTTCGAAGCTGCTAGTTAAGCTCTGTGTTTTTGTTTTGTGTTTTTGGTTTTTTATAAGTAATAAGTACTGATTTGCCTATTTATTGGCATTTCAACTAAGCTTATTTAAAAATGAAATTATCAAATAATCGCAAAAATAGAAAAAACAAAGGATAAGAAGAATAAGAACAGAACAAGAATACGAAAAATTTAGTTACAACTTTCACTTTTATTTGGATAGACTTTGTCTAGAATTATAGAATCAATCAATTAATTATAAAATCAGAATTATTTGGAAAATAGACATTGAGAAGTTAATCAATCAATCAGAATCAATCAATTTGGCCGGAAAGTCTTGTCCATCTTGTCCGCTTGTCCGAAAGTCTTGTACGCTTTTCTGAAATTTTCGTTTATAAATGAATTAGCCGATAAACGTGTGGTTTGCTTTAAATAAAAATTAACTATTTCATTTAGCTCATTTTTAGGCAAGTCCGCTTTTAGGCGAGTCCGCTTTAAAGCAAATCCGAACAGGAATTCTGAAAATGTTGAAGTGAGAAAATGTGCCATTAGACCGACTATCAAAGAAAAGGCCCTTGAATTTGCCAATCATTTTTTGGACACACAAATTTCAAAGTTTCTAACAGTTGGCTGGCTAATTTCAAGAAGCGATACGGTCTTGTTTTTTGAGCAATCGAAGGGCAAAGTGCTTGCGTCGATCGACAACGATCGACATCGACGTCGATCAACAACTGGCATTTTTTTAGTTAGTTTTCTGTCGATTTTACAATAAAGTTGCTTTACATGCTGTTTATTTTGAATAAAATCAATCTTATTTATGTAAATGAAAACATTGGTAGTACCGAAGGACAAATTTTTCTACATTTTTAATGTTTTTAGATCGTTTCTTAGCATTCTTAGCATTCTTAGCATTCTTGGCACAAAACAAACCATAGATCGATTGGTTCATAACCTTTAAAAACAAGGACAAGACTTTCCGGCCAACCTGATAGTATTAGTCCCTGCAATTCGACCATCCATCCACATCTCGGCTGCTGATCTGATAGTCGTCATATCTACAATCCCATTCCGTTGCCACAACAATCAATCCCTCATCTTTTCCGCTGTTGATGCTCCTTTTGAAACATTTTACAATCGTGAAATTCCATCGCGGTTTTTCAAGCCTCTTAGTTAGACATTTAAGGAATTCCTGATTCGCTTCTATCTGAACTCCGTCGATTCTTTGGATAAATTCCTCAGCTCCGACCGCGTTAATGATTAAAAACATCCTGCAATCTTTTGCCTTCTTTGAGAGCAAATTCTGAAGAAATCCTTCGTAAATTGATACAAGTTGATTGTCGTGATTGTGGAAAAAAATTTCATTGTTGACCTCAAATCGAGCACGATTTGTAATTTCAAAAGAGAACATGTCAAACAATTGGCACATCGTCTCAGCATATTGTTCAGGGCTCAACTTTCTGCTCCAACCTTGAAACGACGTTGAAAAGACTCCTACTAGAGTCAAATTTGGGAGACATTCAGCGATTTCTGACACGGTTATTGTTTTTACTGAACGTCTATCATCTGAATCCATCAAATCAAAATATCCATCAAAGTTGATATAGAGAAATTTTACAGAACGAATTCTTTTGATTATTTTTAAATCTTCGTTGAAGTGGAAGTTACGCAAGAAATTCTCTTTTTTTATTGTGAAGAGTGTAGTATTTCCGTCAATACTTTTTTTAGCAGAATGATAGCCCAATTGAATATTTATAGTATGAACTCGATCTCCGAAAGTTCCTTTTTGCAGCACAAATTTTCGAGTGCCTTTGTTAACTTGTAATAAGTTAACGGCTGACTCCGGATCGACTTTGTCAAGAATTTTCTCCTTCAGTTCGGCGGGGAAATTGCGTGAGATTGGGAAAGGTGTTGAGAATTGGATTGGGTTGGGATTGGGAACAATATAGCCTTTAAAGAAGAAAGTCATCACAAATCAATGAATCAAGTTAAACAAAATCTTAAATATGAATGAATGAATGAATGAATCTTAAATATAAAATTTAGGAAAACAAAGTGTTTTTTCGCTTGTGACCAAATCGACGGGTGAATCATTTGTTTTTTTTTTGCATACGATCGATGCTGCTTTGCCCCATTTTTTAGTCTCAACAAAAACAAAAACAATAAAGCTTCGCAATAAGCAATAAAATAATAAGCAACAATAAAGCAAAAACAATGTTTTTTTTTTCAGAGCCCTCTTCAAAAAGTTTATAAACATTTCGGATTTAAGTTCAAAAAATTACAAAAATTTAAAACCATAAATAAAACAAAAAAAATCAAAAGCAAGCTGTATTCATGAAATTCTAGAATTCTAAAGTAGATTCTAGAAATCTGGAAGTAAAGCTAGCACTATAAAATACAGAGTGATCAAAAAGTTCCCGCACACAAAAAGTTCACACTTTACAGAAAAAGCCTCAATTTTCAGCTAAAACTCAGATTGAAATTTGACTTACTATATAGTATTTTGAAGCTGAAATTCTTGAAAGCATTCTACACATAAAAAAATCCTGCTCAAAGCTACCTACAGCTGTCCTACAGCTGTCCTACAGCTCTCCACCTACAGCTATAGCTCTCAAAAGAAGCCAAAGAAGTATTGTAGTGCGCTGAAGGGAAACTGTCATTGCGCTTACCTATTTTCAATAGAAAAATCTTTCAAAAAGCCTTTTTAAATTTAAAATTTTGTCTTAAATAATAGTTCAATTGTTAAAAATGTTTAATTGTTTTTCAATTGTTTTAAAAGAATAAAATCTCTCATCAAAATAAAAACATAAAATAGTCTTCAAAGGATTTTTATTCGAAAACATGCGAAACTATGTTTGTCTGATGGGCGGTTTGCCTCGAATGCAGTGCAAAGCTTCTTGGAAAGGCTAGAAATTTCTGATCGGAGTCATTTACTTATAGAAATATTCATCAGGATTTCAGCTTCAAAATACTATAAAACCCGGGAAATTTTGTTTTAGCTTTCATTTAGAAAATTAATCATCATTAAACTTTTTGATCACCCTGTCCCATAGAAATGTATTAACATTTTTTTGGATTTACATGAATGTCAATCAAAAAAAATCGATAATCAACCATCAACCGAGTCATCAAACAAGTCTAAAACCGTTGTCTTTTGAGAGTCTGTAATATTACTGCTCATTTGTGCTATTTCTTCTTGAAGTTTTTGATTGTCCCTATTGAGGATCATCCATCGATCCTCAATTTTCTTGGTCCTCAAATAGGAATTTGGAACCGAAACCTAGAATTAGAGGATGATATGCTAAGGACTTATGAACAGTTTTCAAAAGATCTGACTAAGCTTTGGGTTTGCGAATAGCTTTTAAGAGTTAAAAGTCGCTTTAGGAGTTAAAAGTGCTGACTGAATATTTTTATTTGAGTAGGAAAACTGTTTTCTAAATCATGCTCATTTGGGGATAGTGTAATGTCTGTCTTTTTGATCGCGCTTCATTCATTTATTTTTTCCTCCGTTGGGGGTGGGACAAATGCGACTTTTTTTGCGCACCTGGACATTCGCGCACCTTTTTTTTGCTGGAAAAAGCCTTAGGAAAGGCCGTAGAGCTTCGAAAATCTTTCCACATAAGGGAATCGTATGCGCAGATTCCGAATTTCGACAAATCAGACCTCGCTGACACGCCAAATTTGAGCTAAAAGACAAAAACTGCGGAAAAGCGTTAAGTTGCGTAGTTTTTGCCTTTTAGCTCAAATTTAATGTGTCAGCGAGGTCTGATTTGCTTTGATTTTTTCGAAATTCGGAATCTACGCAAACGATTCCCTAGTATGGAAACATTTTTGAAGCTCTACGACCTTTCCTAAGGCCTTTTCCAGCAAACAAGGTCGCATTTGTCCCACCCTCCCCCCTCCGTTCACTCTAAAATCTTTCGATTCTTTAGAATGAAAGAATTCATGAATCAAAATCAAAAGCTTCGCCAAACCTGTTCCTATAATATTTGTGCACTAGGCGTTCCCGTTTGCTCAGCAAATTAAATAATTGAGCAAACTATTGATTTATTGAGAACTATTGAGCAAATCTTTACTATGAATTCATTTTCTTTTTCGTAAGCGTTGCGTTTTGAAGTTAAATGAAAAATTTAGAAATGTCCGGCAACATTGAATCGCTTACGATCAAGGAGGAGGATGCGATGAAGTTTTTAGCTTCGCAAACGCACATCGGGGCGCCCAATGTTACTCTTCACATGCAACAATACGTCTACAAACGACGCGCTGATGGTAATTTTTGTGCTTTTATAGGCTTTAGTCGATTAAGAGTCGAGTACGGATAGTTTCTTGAAGCCAGAATCAAGAGAATGGAGTATACAGGTTGCGGCATCATTATAGATGCACAGTATTTCAATCATAACTCATCAACCGTATTACTAATTTGTTTATTTCTTTTTCTAAAATAAAATTTGGCCTTATTTCTACAGTAGATTTTGCGTGCTTGCTTAGAAATTGTTGAATGGACGGCGTCACAAAGTTAGCAATTGCTGATCGGTGAATTTGCTTTTTTACGCTATTTTCCCAAATGATCTTTTGGCTGTGACCTTCATGTTTTTGTTTAAAACTTTTTTCGGATCCGATTCTTAAAAGAAGAAACCCCCAAAAAACCTTCAAGCATAAACAAAATGAAAATTAATTTTAAAAAGGCAAAAATGTTTGCAAAGTTGACCGATCAGCAATTGCTAAACATTGCTAACACCGTAGAAAATCCATTAAACAATTTCTAAGCAAGCACGTAAAATCTACTGTAGAAATAAGCCCAAGTTTCATTTTAGAAAAAGAAATAAAACGAATTAGTAATACGGTTGATGAGTTTTGATTGAAATACTGTGCACCTATAAATATGCCGCACCCTATAACTTATCGAACTTAGGGGGTCAAAAATGTTACAAATTTATGTTGTTTTTAGGAACCCACATCATCAACTTGAACAAGACGTGGGAGAAGCTTCTTCTCGCTGCCCGAGCCATAGCCGCCATTGAAAATCCAGCGGATGTTGTCGTCGTCTCGGCTCGTCCCTTTGCCCATCGTGCACTGATGAAATATGCTGCCCACACTGGAGCCACACCAATTTTCGGGCGTTTCGCCCCAGGAGCACTCACAAATCAAGTACAGAAGAACTACCGTGAGCCTAGAGTGATCATTATTTCTGATCCAACTATCGATCATCAGGTTACTTTCTTTTTTTGTAAAGTATAGATTTTCTTTGTAGGTTGTCACTGAAGCTTCTTATGCCAACGTGCCAGTGATCAGCTTTACAAACACGGATTCACCATTGAAACTGGTCGATATTGCAATTCCATGCAACAACAAGGTAACCTTTTAAAAGTGCTTTAAAGTGTTATGTATGTTTCCAGTTAATAACTCGTTTTATTTAGGGTGCACAATCTTTGGGACTGATGTGGTGGCTCTTGGCTCGCGAAGTGCTGACTCTGAGGGGAAAAATCTCACGTCAAACGGGCTTTTGTTTGGACGGACTTGATGTGATGCCCGATCTCTACTTCTACCGGGATCCCGTCGAGCAAGAAAAGGAAGAAGCTCAACAACAAGCCGCTGCTGAAGCTCATGTTCAAGCCGAAACTGCTCAATTATACGATAGTCCAATCGACTTTGCCGCTCAACCAGAAATCAAGGATTGGGCTGCTGAAGCTGCCTCTGAGAATTGGGCCCAACCCGTCGCTGCAGGAGGAAATGCTGGCGATTGGAATCAAGCTACTGCTAACAACTGGTAAAAAATTCAATTCAATTGATGTTGTTGTTTTCCTTTCTGTTGGTTGTGGTTAATTATTAATTCTTTTTCAATAAATTGTTACTTCATTGCTTTTAAAAAGCTGTGATGGTCATAGAAACCGTGTGCTACATCACTCGACTAAAAAAGAAAAACCAGGGTTGTGAAAAGGTGCTCTTTCTACCGTAGCGGCTCGCGAGCGTTCTCGGTTGATGCGGTTAAATAATTTGCTTGTCAATCTTCAAAAAGGCTTCTCTGAAAATAAAATTCGGCTGGAAACTTTGGCACGTTACTTAATGAAGAGAACTGCAAATTTTAATTGTTAGCTTGATTCTATTGAAGCTTTATATGTTCATCTTTGAAGTATTCTTGCAAAAATTTTTATTTTAGGGATGGGACCTCCGGCTCCGATGCGGAATATGCTCCATTCGTATGGAAGGCAGGCACTCTTGGTGTCTTTTGCCGCAGCGGTCGCCTCCACGGCCGTTTTCTACTTTGGATATGTTCAAAGACGCCACGACAAATACGAGGAATTCTTCAAGTGGGTTTTAGCCTTGGTTCTTAAAAAAACAAAACTCTTTTATTTTCTAAACCATAGAAATAGAAAGCTTTTCGTCGGCCCAAAAATGGTTGAACTTTTTGCCGTTTGTAATCACGGGTTTAATGCAATCTTTGGAAAAGGAAAACCCCTATAGTGATGAACTCAAAAGTTCTTTCTTTTGTATATCAGTGACTGAGCAAAAAGGTATGCCAGGTGAATTTGGATATAACGCAAACTATATTAACAATAGATCTGGTTCGCTTGTTCATCTACTTGTTTTTTAGGAACTATGACCCTTACGCCCGGATGAAGGAAATTTGCGCTTCAAACAAGGGCTACATGCACACCTGCCCTCAAGAACTGGCCAAATTCTACGAGGTAAAATTTTTGATATTGCAAATATGAAGGCGTGAAGTCCCGGCTGTGAAATGTAAATAAATTGGAACAACTTTATGTTGTCATTGCCTACTTAAATTATTTGTCGAAATGACTTCAATTTTTCATCTGTATTAATCTTTCTTCAGGAGAAGGGCAAACCAATCGCCGACCTTTGAAAAGCCGATGTGTATGACTAATAGATTTTCTTTTTTTATGTACATTTATTTGTTACAGTGGGTAGATTTTCTATATTTTCTTGTAACGATTGTTTATTATTAAATTGCAAACAAATAAATTTTATAGGTTCTCAAATGAATTGCATTTCACACGCAACATATGCTATAGGGAAAGCAATGTTTGGGTTCGATGGGAGCAGTTTTTTGGTGGTCGGCTCGTCATTGATTAGTTACCTTTTCCCTTTCTCTTTTCCTCGTTTCGGATCAACGCGTAGTTGGATTTTCTCTCAAGGGCGGTCACAAATTAATTCGATCCTCGACCCAGCTTATACATTTTGCAAATGTTTCTTTTGATTTTCGCCATATTCTTGCCCACTGCTCTACTGAACTCTGTAGCAAAACGAGGTGACAAAACAATAAGCGAAAAATTATTGCGTAATATTGTAGATTTCGAAGACATTCTCCCGATTCAGCACATCAAAGAGGTCAAGGGTATTTGGCTATTTGTTTTTTTGGAAAACAATGAGAATTTAGATGGCTATTTCGCAAAGCCGGATGTTCAACTAGGTGAACAAGTTGTGGAAACGGATGTGACAAGGAAGAAGTGCACGCCAGAAGAAGCAACAAGTTAGAAAATATTGTATATATATAGAGTTTTATCATAAATTAGAAAATTGGTTATTAAATTCAAAACTTTCCTAGACGCAGCACCGAAATTCCAAGGTGGCATAAACGCTGAATACGATGTGGACAATGACGATGAGCAGCCGGTCAAGGCATTGCACGTTTCGAAAGGTTTGTGAAATGGACATCTCCAATATGAGCGAAAGGAAAGTCGGGGAGCAAATTTGCCCCCAAAAAAGCATTTCAAGGACTGTATTTTAACTCCAACGTTTTTTTAAAACTAAGAAGCGCTTCTCCGATATTTTGCGTCAAGAAATCAGACAAGACTTATTTCGTCACCAAAGGAGTCATCCAGTCGGATTGGAAAGTGGCGAATCGATGAAAGTCCGCTCAAAGGGAAACGATGTATTTCGCTGGGTATGTGACACTTGCGCACGGCGAAAGGTCCCCAAGCATTCAAGAGGAATTCGAGTCGATAACTTTTTGCAACAAAGCAAGCTCCCGTTCGTCACAATTTTAAATAGGACATATAGCGTGCCAAAATTTGCTCCCCCGATTTTCCTTTCGCTCCCCCGATATTGGAAAAGACAAGACTTATCAAATGGACTCTTTTTTTTACAGAAACACGTGTCTTCAATGACACGAACGACTACAATGTGACTGAGGTGATCGAGAGAGTCGAGCTGAAAATCATCAAACCACTTTGCGATGATTAGAGAATAAAGATGAAGTGATTAGAGAAATGACAATCACAGAACAAATCTAATAAGCTGAATTTGAAGACTGGCATTGATATTGGTCTAGATCACTTTGGTAAAGGCCGCTTAAAGGATTGTGGGACATTTGATACGCGTCACGCCCTGTTTCTCATTGGCAATCCAACTTTGAGCTCAAATATCTTGGTGTTCGGCTGTTCAATTGAAATATTCTTGGTATCATTCGATATGCCCCAAGTCTTTCTCTATCGATTGGTACAAAAACTATTTCAATTGAACAGCCGAACACCAAGATATTTGGGCGCAAAGTTAGATTGCCAATGGCAGAGGAGGCGGGGCGCGTATCAAATATCCCACAATCCCGGAAAAATGGTTTAACTTGAGTAATTGAACCGGCTGTTGGATTCATTTTTTTAAATTCACTCAACTGAATATCTTTTCCAAAATTGCAAAATTGCTAGATGGTAAATTGTAAATATTGGGTTGGTGAATTGAAAACTGCCGGACTTTGAACTAAAATTTATTCAACATAAAGCCAATCAATTGATTCCAAATAATTTCCATTATTATTAACGACTTCTGCCCATTTTACAACCTAAACCGCGCCTATTATGGGCGGGACTTAACCTCTTTCCTAGTAGGATTCTGGTTTTGAATCGAAAAACGTTTGGAGCCAATTTTTGACTGCTTCTTCCGAATCGCGACGTCGCACTCCAATTGACGTCGCCGCCATTTGGAGGTAGTCGATGGGAGCGCCGCGTCGTCGTTTCTTTTTCGTTTTCAAATCATTTGTTTTTGTCTGATTATTTGAAAGTATTGTTTTACTGGATAAATTTTGTGTTTCTCTTTGAAATGAGAAAGAAATCTATTGGGTTGGTGAATTGAAAACTGCCGGACTTTGAACTAAAATTTATTCAACATAAAACCATGAATTCATTCCAAATAATTTCCATTATTATTGACGACTTCTGCCCATTTTACAGGCAATTTGCGGATTCCTCTTTCGTAGTAGGATTTTGGTTTGTGTGTGAGACTCAAAAATGGAGGAATGTCCCAGTTTGAGCACTTTCTTCAAAAGAAACCCATTTTGGTGTCAATAGAAAAGTTGTAGAGAATCAAAAATTAGGCTTATAGCCAAATTTCCAAAAAGATACACTTAGTAGTTTTGCTTAAAATGCAAGTTTTGTGAAAATTCGTAAATTTCGCATTTCTTGAAAACCAGTTTTTGAATCGTTCTGAAAATTTGGATATAAGCTTCATTTTTTTTTACAACTTTTCCTAGGGGCAGAAAGGGGGGTTTTTGAAGGGGGGGGGGCGGGAAAGGGGGGGGGCCAACAAAAACAAAAAAAAAAAAAAAAAGAAAAAAAAAAAAAAGGGTTTTTTTTTTTTATAAAAAAAAAAAAAAAAAAAGAAGAGGAGGGGTTCGGGGGGGCGGCCCCGGGGGCGGGGCGGGGGGGGGGGGGACGGGAACCGACGAAGGGAAAGGGGCGGCCAAAAGGAACTTTTATTTCCCAGTCTTTTACTTTCTTTTTCCATTGACACCAAAATGGGTTTCTTTTAAAGAAAGTGCTCAAACTGTCACTTATGACAATAGCCCGCAGTTTTCAATTCACCAACCCAATATTTTGATGGATCCAGGTCCACCCTTTTGACAAATTCAGCTACTTTTTGAGCCAAACCAGTAATAAAACTGAACAATGCTAGGATCTGAAGCCGGAAAAAGGTTATCGGACATTCGATATAAGCTCCGTCCCTTTTGCCACTGGCAATTGGCAATCTTTGAGCTCAAATTTCTTGGTGTTCGGCTGTTCAATTGAAATATTTTTGGTATCATTGAATGAGCAAAGTCTTTCTCTGTCCCGAGGTCGGTGAACAACCCGAGAAATTTCAGTCGATTTCGAAATCTTTTCCGAAGTTACATCAATCCCAACTTTTCTCGTCTCTGGCTGTAAAATCCGGAGCCGAGGCGAAGAAATGTTGAAGTGCCCGGTCTTATCGAAACGTTGTTTTTGGTTGTCAGCCTTTTTTCTTTAATCGATGCACATTTTCACGCCTTTTCATCCGTTTGCAGAGCCTCTATCTTGTCATCCTCGAAAGGGAGAGATTTTGAATTACACTGACTTTGATCTGGGCTTAGAATTCAGCGCACCAGAAGGAGACTTGAGTACAAGACTTGAGACTTTACAAGACTTTAAGGATTGTGGGACATTTGATACGCGTCACGCCCCGTTTGCAACTGGCAATCCAACTTTGAGCTCAAACATCTTGCTTCTCGGCTACTCAAGTCTTTACAAGACTTGAGTAGCCGAACATGTACAAAGTACAAAGTACATACATGCGGATTTTCTTGGTATCAAATTTCAATTCTGTTTTCTGTCATATCCATTGTTGCAATTCGATGCATTCGATTTCATTTCTGCGTTTGAAATTTTTCTATAATCCTGCGTCGGAATAATTAAAGTCGCCGAAAAGCTTTTCAAGAGCTAAGAAAAAAAGAAATTTTAGCTTGAATGAATCGAATTTGGGATTCTTTTTCAAAATTTTGTTGACAAAGGCGGAAATCAAAGACTTCTGGATGTTAGATTTAGTTTTTGGAACAATTTTGGAACAATTTCGAGCTATAGTTTTTTGAAAAATGTTCCATTCTTTCTCAAAATTGGCCACGAATCACTCAAGAGCGAAAGGAGGCGAAAAAGGATCAGTTTGGTGGGTTTTGAATCAAAAATCAAAAACAAATCAAAAATTGAGGCTAGAGTTGAGTGAATTGGACAAAGCTGAAGAAAAAATTATGGCTTTTAAATTAGTTTTAAATAAACCAGCTTCAAGAACCACCTTTTAGGCTTTAGAGAGGAGCACACTCTAGTTTTGCTTCAAATTGCTTCAGATATGCATGGCTTAGTCTTTAACCCGAGCTGGAAAAAAAAAAGAAGAAAAAAAAGGAAAGGTCCAAAGGGGCTGCGGGGTTTAAAACCAAGGGGTCACGCGAGGAAAAAGGCGCGGTCATAAGTTTGGGGGTCCTTGGGGGGGGGGGGGTTTTTGGGGGTGGGGGCGGGTTTTTTGGGGGGGGGGGTGGGGTTTTTGGGTTTAGCACAGTCTGGAAGGATCATTGAGCTATACGGAGCTATCATTGCGTATGTCATATCTGGTTGATCCTAGCTTAAAACATCCGGTTGCAAGACGGCGACTTTGAAACAGTGATATGATGAAATTCAGCTTTTGCTCGTGTTGAATACCTAGACGATTGCTAAAAATCCTTTCTAGGCCCACGTGAAAGACAAATTGCAACTGCATCAACAATTGGAGGATTTGATGAAGAAAAGAAAAGAATGGGACGAATGCCGAGAAGCGCTATTGGTATGGTGGATCGAAAAAAGAGAATAGAGCATTTTTAGAGCGCTTCTAACTCCAAAACCGCCTCATCAACGACTGAGTCGAGTGGTTTGTCTTTTTGGTTTTGAGAAAACTTAGATAACGCCTATGAATTTCCATTTAAGACACTCACTCCACCGCTGACGAGGCACCCGAAATCCCCGATGAACCGGCAATTATCGTTTCTCCAGAGAGTCTCATTTGGCATCCGAATTTGAGACAGGTTCGTTATGTGGTTTCTCGAGGAGTCGACGGACTTGGTTTACGAGTTTTGGTGACGGGCACAGGGTTTACTCCGGCTAGAGTCGACAATTTTGGGCATTGATCGGTGTTGAAACTCCTCAAATCCTAATCTGCGCAGATTGCAACTCTAATTCCGGCATTCGAGACAGGAGAACCCAAGTTGGTCCCTTCTTTGACTTCGCGTTCGTCCAGAAGTTGGTCACCCGAGATGACCCTGCTTGTGTCTCGTTGCTTTATGGTTATTGCTCGTTGCTTTCAAAAATTTCCCAATGAAAAGCAATAAAAAATTTCAATTAAACAATAATCTGACAAAAACAAATGATTTGAAAAAAAGAAAAAGAAAACGAAAAAGAAACGGCGACGCGGCGCTCCCATCGACTACCTCCAAATGGCGGCGACGTCAATTGGAATGCGACGTCGCGTGCAAATTAATATTAAACAATTGATGGTTGGGAGGGGGAAGGCGCCCTTTTTTCCCCCGCCCGTTTGCCCCCCTTTCCCCCCCCCCCCCCCCTTGCGCCCCCCCCTCTCGTTTTTTTTTAAAAGCTAAAATTACTAATTTTATTCCAAAAGTTTTTTCGCGTAAATTTCAATACTTTCAATGAAATTTTGTAAAAAAAAGAAGCAATTTGGTTGACTCGATGCGCAAACGGATAGAAAAAAGAAAAAAAGTCATTGAGGTCAGGAGCGGGTCAATAGACTATTAAATTTACTGTTGTTTTTGAAAGATGGCAATACTGGCAATAGGTGGCAATTTTGTCCACCGTTTTTGAGGTGTCTTCTCCGCTCTTGCTATTTTGCCCAAATGGATAGAAAAACTCATTCAGGCCAATAGAATTTAATGTTTAAAAGACATCCTAAGAGAAACAAATGGCAGACTGTTGAGTTACATCAAGAAAAGCCGAGTTGCTATAATGCTAAAGCTATAATGCTAATGCTATAATGCTAATGCTATAATGCTAATGCTATAATGCTAAAGCTAAAGCTAACGCTAATGCTAAAGCTATAACGCTAATGCTAAAGCTATAACGCTAATGCTAATGCTATAACGCTAAAGCTATAACGCTAAAGCTATAATGCTAATGCTATAATACTAAAGCTATAATACTAAAGCTATAATGCTAATGCTATAATTAATGCTAATGCTAAAGCTATAATGCTAAAGTTGCTATAATTTTGGATCACCCGGTATTTATTGAATCAGGTTTTCCATTTCAGATCCAAGTACAAGTGACGAATCGAGGGCCAGAAAAGAAGGGCGATAAAGGTGGGAATCAGGCTTGTAAGCGGAAAATTGAATATCTTTTCATTTTCAAAGAAAAGGTTAACAAATGGGGCAACAAACGACAACAAACGACAGCAAACGTTTTCCTGTCGCAGTCGTTTTTCCATCGTCGTCCATTCGTTGGGTTTTGTTTTGAAAATCAAAAAGCTAAATTTTCCGCTTACAAGCCTAGCTAGAATGGATAAGTAAAGCTGGCTGAGATAAAATGAGATAGCTAGAATGGATAAGTAAAGCTCGCTTTAGGTAAAATGCTCGGACACAATTTTGTATCGAATCTACCCGGTCTTTTGGTATTTGGATCCGGATGAGACGGGGATTTTGACGGTTTGAAAAAATTCGCAGCTTTCCATTACACTCCAGCTTTCAGATCACTGTGGCGAACTCGGTGACCGATCGAGGGAAAGTGATACTGCAACATACCGAGGTTGGATAATAGCTAAGCACTGTAGATCTAAGCACTAGATCTAAGCACTGTAGATCTAAGCACTAGATCTAAGCACTAGATCTAAGCAGTGTAGATCTAAGCACTAGATCTAAGCACTAGATCTAAGTACTAGATCTAAGCACTAGATCTAAGTACTAGATCTAAGCACTAGATCTAAGCAGTGTAGATCTAAGCAGTGTAGATCTAAGCACTAGATCTAAGCAGTGTAGATCTAAGCACTAAAATCCTCTAAAGGTTCTTTTAAAATATGCTTTGAAAAGGGTAAACACACCTTTTCTGGCCCACTTGGAAGCATTTTTTTACTCATTTTCCATTTCCCAGGCTCTTCCCACTCATCTACCGTATTTGTTACCACAACTCTTCAAATGGACTCCCGCATCTCTCCTACAAACCGTTCACCTCGACTCTTTACCGCAAAAAGGAGTGAGTTCGGATGAATATCTAGTAAAATTAATTGAAATTTGATCAGGCTTTTAGTATAACTTCCAGACCTTAGTACTTCTAGATCTTAGTACTTCGAGACCTTAGTACTTCCAGATCCTAGTACTTCCAGACCTTTACAGTCTTACCTAGGAGCTAATTGGAATAGATGATTCACTATTGCACATTGATTGATTGATTCTAGATGATTCACTATTGCATAACGCTGTTTCAAGCCTGTTAGAACCTGAACCTAACACTTTGTACCTAGAGCTAATAGATTTACAGGGTCTTGGGGCTGTTGGGAACAGCCTTGTATAGTAGTTTTAATTGTACTGGCCTAGCTCTGTCCAAGTTCAACCCACAAAAGTACCTGGACCAAGTTTAGAATTGGTTTCTGATTTATCGATATCGATTTATAGATTTATAGACCCTACAGATTCAACTGGGATATCCGTTTAACAGTACTGGATAACAATAAAAAGATACTGTATTCTGTAGTATTCTGTAGCATTCTGTAGAATTCCGTAGCATTCTGTAACATTCTGTAGCATTCTGTAGCATTCTGTGGCATTCTGCAGAATTCTGTAGTATTCTGTAGCATTCTGTAGTATCCTGTAGCATATTCTATCCTATGCCTGTTTAGGTGAAAACATTGGGTGCCTGGAATCCGAGAGATGTCGATGAGAATGAGAGAACGGGGGACGACTATTTTGAGCCTGGTAAAGAAAACTAGGTCTTTCGGTACTGAACGACTATTTTTTCTTCAAAAGTGCTTTTTCTAGGGCAGCTTTTTACGAAAATTACGAATTTCATAGTGGAAATTTGGGGAAATGCATTTTAGATTGACTTCCGGGGGCCCAAACTCGCCGCCTCTACTGTGTAGAGGAACAGCACACTCTAGAGTCTCTAAAACTTTAAGCCTCTAAAAGTCGGTCTAAAACGCATTTCCGCAAGCTCTCACTATGAAATTCGCAATTTACGTAAAAAACTGTCCTAGAAAAAGCATTTTTGAAGAAAAAAAGGTTGTAGAAGTGCTGGGCTTTGGCCTATCAAACCAAGAATTAAAACCAAAGTCTCTTATTAAAACAAACTTGTGAAGATTCATGAAATTGCATTGCTTAAACATTAGTTCTAGATTCATTGATGTGTTCGGCGAAAGTTTTGCTTTGGAAAGAGAATGGGCCGAGAGTTCAAACGATCACTTTCACGAATACAACATGGGCGAGGAGAGCTCTGAAAGTTGGCTAAGGATTTTCGATTTTTCAAATGAAAGGCTTTCAGTTTAGCTTTCAGTTTTTTCATTAATCATTTCACTCAAAGTGAATTAATTCTGCTAAAATCCAAGCCAAATCCAAGCAAAATCCAAGCCAAATCAAAACCAGTATCAAAATATTGAAATTGAGCACCAAACAATTAGAGTCGTTTAGGTGAAATGCTCGGACAATCGAATCTACAACGTCAGCCCGGTGCACGTGGCTTTAGAGCCAGCTGAGGCGGTGAACATATCGGTAAACTATCCTCCTTGCAGAAAATCATCTCAAATATCCATTACAAATGTCTAGAAAACCAGTAATTACAGTGAATTCGGGGATGGGACAAATGCGCCCTTTCTTTGCGCACCTGGACATTTGCGCACCTTTTTTTGCTGGAAAAGGCCTTAGGAAAAGCTATAAAGCTTTAAAAAATGTTTTCTTATAAGGGAATCGTATGCGCAGATTCCGAATTTCGACAAATCAGACGACAAATCGCTGCCACGTCAAAATTTGAGCTAAAAGGCAAAAACTACGCAATTTAACGCTTTTCCGCAGTTTTTGTCTTTTAGCCCAAATTTGACACGTCAGCGAGGTCTGTATTGTCGAAATTCGGAATCTACGCATACGATTCCCTTACATGAAAACATTTTTGAAGCTCTACGGCCTTTCCTAAGGCCTTTTCCAGCAAAAAAAGGTGCGCAAATGTCCAGGTGCGCAAAAAAAGTCGCATTTGTCCCACCGCCGCGAATTCAGTTTTCGAGAAGCGCCGCCGTTGGCCGGGAGGATTCGTTTGTTGTTCAACACGTAAAAGTGAGTAATGAAAGTTTAGCAAGCAGCAAAAGACGACTTTAAGCCATTCAGCTAATCCCCAAGCCCAAAAGATGTGCAATGTACTTTGTTCTAATTTTCGGTACAGTCCGGTCCAGACCAGGCCGTGCCAGAAAAAGAAAAAAAAGAATCCGTTCAAAATTCCTTTCCAGGCCGATGGGCCCTTTCATATTCTCGGCCCACAAGATGTCTTCCGTGCCGTGAATCCCGAGGAAATCCAATCAATCACAATTTTCTCCAAAAGCAACTCATAGTCAGTAGTGTTCACGCAATTGGTTTTCTGAAGAATAAACCATTAACACATTTCATTTTCACAGAATAAATAGATCAGAGAATTAAAGAGTCGGCACATCCCTTACATCAACATCGACTCGAATGAAGGCCGTGTCATTGACGATGAATTTACCCTTTGTCAACTCGGCGACACGGATGAAACGCTGAATTTGAGCGCGTACTTTGTGCACACACTAAACACACGCTTTCTGGTGCATCAAAAGTTTCACTGAGTGTGCCAGAAAGGATGTGTTTACAGAGTCGAAGACAAAGTACCGTAAATATTCTACTAGAAGACCCCCTATAGGAGCGGCGCGTAGTCTAAGCTTTTACTCTCAAACAAACGCTTATATCTTAGCACCAGTATGTTTGTTTCTGCGCGTTTAGGTATCAAATTAAAGTAGAGAGAATGGGTGATCTTTTAAGATATAATACATATTTTTAATATTAACCAGCACCTAGAAAAAATGATTGAAAAGTGGCAAAAAAAGCCGATTTTTCATCATTTTTCAATCATTTTGTTCTAAGCGCTGGTTAATGTTAAAAATATGTATTATATCTTAAAATAACACCCATTTTCTCTACTTTAGTTTGATACCTAAACGCGCAGAAACAAACGTACTGGTGCTAAGATATAAGCGTTTATTTGAGAGTAAACTTAGACTACGCGACGCTCCTATAGGGCTCTTCTATTAGAATATTTACGGTAATTTAATTCACTTTTTAACCGAGCCTTTAAAAAATCATTATAATCCTTTACCTGAATCCCAAAAGCCGGATTTCTCTCGGTTGGTGGACGCCCGAGAAAGGGTTCATTTTCGGGAACAGCTTTTGGGATGAGAGTTTCGATTTCTGGAAATTGAATTTGCATGTCATTTGTATTAAACTTGCTGATCGATCAAAATAAGTGCAGAATAGGAAATCGATTACGGCAGAATACGTTACAAAGCTTATACGCTCTCTATTTAGCACTAAATTGATCAATAGAAATTCCAAAATGTACTGTTTTGATGTGTTTCGTCTTGATTGATCCACGTGATCGTGATTGGGCATTGGAAAGGCCACGGGAGAATCCCGTCATACTCGTCTTTCAGGATTGAGACGAAGATTGAGGCGTACTCGCGGACAGCTGAAAAAAAAAATGAGGACTATTGTGTAATGTATTATTTTCCAGATTTTGATTTATTATTAATTGTTTAGTCTTTTAAATCCTTTAATCCATTAATTATCAGCAAAGATCACCCTTTCCCTCTCCAAAAGGTGCCAACACAGCGCACATCTTGTAACCGTGACGGTGTGAGTGAAATGGAGGACTGTAGATGACAGGGATTCGACCCTGAAAAGAAAAAGAATATAATAAAGCAAAGTTTGAAACGTTTCCCAAAACGTGTCCCCTTTCTATCGTAATCTTGTCTCTATTTTTATCAAATCCATTCACTTTTTCTATCTTTCGATATCTTTTATGAAACCTCAAAGAACCAGATAAAAGTAGATAGGTTTGATCAAAAAATAGAGACAAGATTACGGTAAAAATGGTAAACGTATTAGAAAACTTGAACTTGAACTGAAAGGTGTTCAAACCTTTTTCGCAGTTTCAAAATGCTTGCGGTAGTTGTCGATTCGCCAAACAAGTTGACTGCTGAAAGATTGAAAACTTGAAACGACTTGAAAACTAAAAACAAGAAATGCTATTCGACAGCTATTGAATTGATTTGAAATTCCTGTGGGATACTTTATTAGGAAAGCTACCGTTTTTCCTTTAGCCGACCTAAATTTCATGACGATCGCCTGAGATTTGATGGAGAGACGCGCGGCAAGATCGATATTCCCCGTGGAGTTCGTCATACTTTCCATCGCTTTCGCTCGAAATGAGATCGTTTTATCGCACAATTGGGCCAAGTGATCGAATCTAAAGAGAACTTTTGGAGATAAAGTTTAGATTACGTTGTACTTTAACTCGAATCTGTAAATGCACTAAATTCTTTGTTTTTCTTGCAGCAACGCTTTAGTGTCAAGGGTAAAAAAGATGAATTCAGTGCACTAGATAAGGTGCGTTTACAGAATTGAGCAAAGTACACAGCTGAACCTGGGTTACGTACTGAAAGTACTGTTTTCTAGAGAGTACAAGACCGCAGTTGGCTACAGACTGGTACAGTACACCCAGTTTTCCCCGTGTTGGCTCGTAGCACTCCAGTATCTTACTGTAGCTAAATTACAGTACTTATCATCTCGAATGTGTTTCTTTATATCGAGCGTTCTTCCGCGGCAAGTACAGCCAAAGTCTTTAAACGGGCAATTGATGATATCATCGGCACCGGGTGGGTTCATCGAAGCGGGCAATGGGGGAGTGTCACCTAAAAATATAAACCAGTACAAATTATCCGATCAACTAAAAATTTTGCACTTATACTTATAGAACTAAAAGTAAGTAATTATAGAACTAAAGCTTGGATCCAGTTTTACTTGGTAATACAGTCGACTCTCGTAACAATGATTTTGAAATTCTAAAACACGCATTTAGTTTCTGCGTAGCTGCCCGGCCGAACGCAATCGTTGGCCATTCAAGGGCAGCTACACAAGAAATTAGCTGCATGTTTTAGAACCGTTAATTCGAAATTCTTGGTCCCAAGCAAATCCTTAAATCAAGAGTCGACTGTATGTAAAGTAATCTCCCTTACCAAGTGGCTTTTCCTCATTCAAGCCGTTTAGTGAGACGAGCGGAGAGATAGCTAAACTGATTTTTTTTAAAGCACCATTTCATTTCCCAACTCATTGGTGTCAGCTTCCGTTCAACATCTTTTGGTGAGCCAATCGGAGTCAACATCGAGTCACGGGACGATGGACGGGGTGATGGCTGAATTGAATAAATCTTTTACTTACAATATAATCTACAGTACCTACAATAAATGTGCTGAAATACAGTATTCAGGTTCTTAATAGCTTGAGAAGCTAAAGTAAAGCTAAAGTAAAGCTAAAGTAAAGCTTAAGTAAAGCTAAAGCTAAAGTAAAAATAAAGCTTAAGCTATAAAGCATCCGGTGTGCCTTATACTATTTTTGAAGCAACACTTTCAGCATAAAATCATTTGTAAATGTATTAATTTGGCCAGAAAGTCGTGTCCGTCTTTTTGAAATTATCGTTTATAAATAATTAGCCGATCAACGTATGGTTTACTTTAAATCAAAAAAGATTAACTATTTCATTTAGCTCATTTTTAGGCAAATTTGGGTCCGCTTTGAGAGCAAATCCAAACGGGAATTCTTGTTTTTCCTAAAATCCTTACAATGGACATAGAATGAAAACGGCTTGGTGAAATGTTATGAAAATTTGCCTATCTGCCTAACTTTTCATTCTCTATCTTTTGTCTTTTGGCACCAAAATAGGTTTCTTTGACAAAAGGTGCTCAAATCGGAACTTTGAGTTTCATCGTTTTTGACTTCCCGACTTCACACCTTTAAAAAAATTAACTAACGCGAGCTTTTCAAAATTTCTTAAAGAGCAACTTGTAAATAAATAATAGAACTTTCCGATAAAACAAAGCATAGATCGATTGGTTCATTATTCATTTCAAAAAGTAACCTTTAAAAAAGCGGCCGACTTTCCGAGCAACCTGATAGATAGCTTATTGAAGGGGCGGAGGCTTGTCCCCAAAAAGCAAATATAAAAAATAAGTTTCAGGACAGCTACCGTATACTATCGAACTTCTAATGAGTTTAGAAACTCTTTATGCCCTCACCTGCCGAGCTGTTTTCGGTAAAATCGGTCGAACGGTGACCACCTCTTGCAATGGATGCGCATCGGTGGCCTGAAAGCTAAAATTTTTAAGGAAAATAGAAGAAAACTACCAGCTCAGCCATTTTAATCATTGAATGCAAGATAAAATAAATGAATTTTTTTTAAATGAATCAAACTTTTTAAATCTCAGCAATTTTTTGACGGAAACGGGTCGCCGGGCAGCGCCGATCTGGTGGTCTGGGAGATTTTCGGGGAAAAGAAATGTGCTTGTCTAATAGGAAAAAATCTCAGCTCACTCAGAAATCACTCAAAGCCTACTGGTAAAGCCGAAGATCTCAGAAAATAAGCAAAAGTACACAGACCACGAGATTTGCCAAAAGCGAACCTATGGATGACGGATGGCGGATTGTTGCGGGACAGCTGGCACAACAGCGACAGTAGCAATAGTTGGTCCAACGGCACGGTTCGTGACCGAATATCCAAGAAGAAACACACGGGTATCCTAAAGAAAAGTCAAGTAAAATCAGATCACGTAACAATAATCGAACCTTCAACAGAAACACCATATGATTTGGCCCAGGGACGATCTTCTTTTAGTCAGGTGAGTTGAAGTCACTCGTCGAGTTGCTTCTCCTATGTTGTGTCGAGCGGCGGTCGACTTGAAACTAAAGCAAGAAATGAGAGATGTAAATCAAGGCTGAACAGATTATGAAGTGACAAAAGACAAAAGCACGGCGTTTTTTGCATCAGAATCCTTTACGCCAAAAATTTTTTTGCGCCAAATTTGCGCTTATCACTGTAACAAATCACTTTTCCCCAACTTCTAACTAACTTTTTTCAGTTTTCTGCTTCACAAATTTTAATTCACATTGTTTTCAATCAGAAAACACTTTTAAATACATATACAGCCCCAAAAAAAGTCATTTTTGTGTTCCCGATTGGGTTTTTTGCTCTTTAAATCGATTTAATGCCATTTTTTTATATCGATTTAATGCCGGTGAAGGCGTCAAAGTAGCGAGCATCATCGACGAGAAAAAGTAGTAAAAAAAATAAAAATAAACAACCAGAGTTGGTGGGGAAAGTGTGTCGAAAAACGCAAATTTGGCACAAATGATACATGGCACAAAATTTTTAGCGTAAATAATTTGGCGCTTTTACTAGCACCTCCAGATTATAGGTCAATCAAAACAGTGGAACCTCTCTATAACGTAACTCACGGGGGGGGGGAGGCTTATTTATATATATGGTGGTTTTTTATTTTTTAATGTCGGCGGGGCGGGGGGGCCGTTTTTGGTTTGGGGGGTTTTGGTTTATTTTGGTTTTTTTTATGGGGTTTGGGGTTTTAACTTACACACCAATAATTTTCGTTTCCTTTACATCCAGAGCATATTTTGGGCGTGTAGAGCTCCGGTGGCGAGCTTGGGGCAGGAGAGCTTGTATCCATTTTCTATAAAAAAGTAAAATTAGACCAGTAAGACATACAAAGTTGATAAAATACAAAGTTGATAAAATTGAAACTTTACAAGGTATAGGATTAAAGAGATTAAATTATGTTTCATTCACTTTGTAGAATGCTGGAGTGTTAATTTTTTTGTTATTTTGGTTGTTATCAATTAAAAGATGTCATAATACTTATTGTAAAGTTAAACTAGAGCGAATTCGAGCGTCAAAACATCAAAATAAAATGACAACAAAAGGAAGGGATCGAACCCGAGCGAAACTCGATAGCCTGTTTCTGAAACAATACTCTTATCCACTACACCACAAGGTTGCATTTCGCGACGGTGAAAGAAGCCTTATATAGGGACTGGTTTTTGACCTCTATCTTGATCTCTATCTCATCTCAAACTTGTTTGCCAGATTCCTTGCGTTTCCGAATTTCATTCATTTTCGAATCATTTTACAAAAACGGATAACACCATCGGAATCAGCATAAAATTCTGCGTCGTATGGTATATAGCGCATGTCATTTGGTCACCTTGTGACCTTCCCTTGGGGAGTGGGACAAATGCGACCTTTTTTTGCGCACCCGGACATTTGCGCACCTTTTTTTCCGCACTTAGCCCATTAGCGCACCTTTTTGGGGTTTAAAAGCCAAAGCAAATAACCAATTTCTATTCCAAAAGTTGTTTTCTAGGTAATTTAGGGCGTAGAACGAAATTTTGGCATATCAGAGCTTGTGGAACCAATTTGAAAGACAAAACGGCTAGGTCAAATTACAGAAAATTGTTGATTTTTCTCTTTTTATAACTCCGTTCGTTCGCTTCCACAAGCTCTGATATGCCAAAATTTCGATTCTACGCCCAAAACAAAAACTTTGGAAAGAAATTGGTTAATATTAGCTTTTAAAACGTGAAAAGGGAATGAGTCGGTGCGCCAAAAGGTGCGCTAGGGCAAGGCGGAAAAAGGGCGGATGTGGGTGCGCAAAAAGGGCATTTGCACCCCTTCCCTTGTTAGAAGAGTTGTTGAGGTACTGTAGTGGTGAGAAATAAATTATTATGCATCCCGTAGTTTACGGGCAGAGTACATACTACATGCTTATCTTTTCACTCTCAGCCGTTCCCCTTTTGCTTTTTCTCTGTCAGTGCATCTCTATTTTCCTCTAGCTTTGTTTTGCTCTTTGTCCCCGGACGAATTCCAACTAATTGCAGTAAATTTGATGCACTTTGGACTTCGAGAAACACTTTTGAGAAAAAAGATTGTCACTTTTATTAAAAAAATTATTGAATCATGACAAATTTATATTTATAATACATTTATAATACATTTATTAGACTTTATCTTTTTCTAAAGCTGTTCTTGACCTACATTTAAAGCGCATTTTAGCAGTGCAAATGATCCGGGAATCTGTTCGGTTTGAGCAAATTTTGATGTGGTGTTTTAAGGATGTAACCAAATACCTTTTTTTTATTGACTTTTCATTTCTTCTTGTTGTAAAGACAAGATTAATGAAGGTTTTTCTCTCCGCTCGTTTCACTAAACAGCTTGAATGAGGAAAAGCCACTTTAATGAAGGACAATATTAATGAAGGTTTAAGCAAACCTTGGTATTTATTCCCTATTCCTTATTCATTATCTTTTTCTTATTTTTTGCTTCGGTTTACATGCTTTTTCTTACAATTTTCTATAGTTTCTACTTTTTTTTTGTTTATTTATTGCCGCACAGTAAGGGTGCTCTTGGGCAGACTTCGATTGGGAGTAGGTGCAAGCTCTTCGGGGAGTAGTTGGGGTTGCGCCCGAGCCATTTTTAGAGAATTTGTGGTATTGATTCCCTCCCAGGCCTTTCCAAGAGCACCCCCTCCTATGCGACATTAAAAATAAATTTTAAAAAAGTAACTAAAAACTATAGAAAAGAAAAAGCATGAAAATCGAAGAAAAAAGAATAAAAATTGGCTTCCTCAATACTCAGGGATGGCTACTTTCCGCCAAATTTTTGTGCAACTCGCTATAACTTTCTTCTAAGTGGGCCAAGCTTTATTATTCCCATGATAAGTGCCCAAAACTTTATTAATCTCATCTGCTTATTTTATTTACTATATGTTTTTAGAATCCCTTGGGTACAATCCGAGACTCAAGGATGCTTTCCCGTCTGCAGAACACTCGACTGATCGGTTTGTTTCGTTTGACATTTGGTCTTTATCTCATTTATCGATTACAGCCTTTGCTTCAAGGCCGCTCTCCCTTTCCTCAACACGCAATGCAGGTCAATTATTCCTCTAAGATTTACGATTACTCAAACCATTAGTTAAAAATGGAATGGGGTTCGTTTCGTTCACTAGATTATAATTGATTAATACAAAAGCGTCTATTCCATTTATCATTTTATTTTAGGCACTGTGAAGATCGAGAAGAAAGGCGATGTGGCTGTTGTCAAGATTGATATGCCCAACACAAAGGTGAGTAGCATCTAATTTTTATCGGGATTACCCTCTTATCATTCTACTTTTTTATTTAGGAGAATGTGCTTGGCGAAGCGCTTAGCAACGACCTCACGGAGGCTTTCAGCAAATTGGAGAACGACGAGACGGTGAAAAGTGTGGTGTTGATGTCGGGCAAGCCGAACTCTTTCGTAGCCGGAGCAGATATCACAATGCTGTCCAAGGCGAAAGACGTTGCCGACGCAGAACGGATGAGTTCGGAGGGACAGGTTTGTTTGAATTTTTTTGGGGTTCTGCTCGGATTACAGCAAAGCTCTTCAGTTAAAGTGTTGCTTTAGAAACAATTTGCACGACTCGCCGAATCGAAGAAGCCTATCGTTGCTGCCATTATGGGATCATGCCTGGGCGGAGGATTGGAGTTAGCATTAGCATGCCACTACCGAATTGCTGTCAATGACAAGAAGACTCAATTGGCTTTGCCGGAAGTATGTATTAAAAAGATAATAAAGCCTCGTTAGCAAATCAGCTTCTATAGTTTCTGGCTTCCAAGGCTTTCTGGACAACCCAATAGCTAACAAAACTTCTTGAAGCATCACGATCAATATGACCCTTTTGATTAGATTGAAATCCTTAGAATTACAAAATTATCCATTCTTTTACCAATTTAAAGATTCTAAGCTTGCTAGTCGGTCAAATTAGTGTCTTGAAAAACATCAGTAGTTTACGGAGGTTTCACTGTAATCACAAATGGTTTCACTGTAAACAAATTAATGTTAAATTACAGCTATAATTTAGGTAATGCTTGGACTGCTTCCTGGTGCCGGGGGAACGCAACGGTTGCCAAAACTTGTCGCTCTTCCAACTGCCTTGGACATGATGCTAACTGGAAAAAAGCTTAAAGCTGATAAGGTAAAGATTAAAAAAGCTTCAATTGTTGTTCTATTGGCAACAAATTTTAGGCTAAGAAAGCTGGATTTGTTGATGTCGTTGTGCAACCTTTGGGTGATGGTCTTGGTCCAGCCAACGAGATAACACACAAGTTTGTGCTTTTTAGTATAGCACCTCGCTTTGTTCTAGGTACTTGGAAGATGTTGCTGTGAAAACGGCTCAGCAACTTGCTAGTGGAACTTTGAAAGTATGATTGGATGTAAAAGAATTGTTTTATTTTGTTGTTAGATTGATCGAACAAAGCCATTGATGCAACGAATCCAGAACGCCATAACGTCGAATCGACTCGTTTTGGATAACGTTGTGCTTAAGATGGCTCGTGATAAGGTAAAGCATTTCGCTAAAGTTGTTGCAAAAAGATTTTAGGTAATGAAAATGACAAAGGGAAACTATCCGGCTCCACTTCGCATTTTGGAAGTGATTCGCGAAGGAATCGTCAATGGTTCAGCCAAAGGATATGCACTTGAGTCAAAGGTTTGTTATTGTGTTTGTCTAAGCTATTCTCAATCACTTAATTATCCATATTACTTATGTGAACATTGAGAACATTGTAATGAGAGCTTGAACTTTAGTATTTCGGTGAGTTGGCAAAAACCACCCAGTCGGCTGCTCTGATTGGCTTGTTCAATGGATCAACGGATTGCAAAAAGAACAAATATGGAGAGGGACGTCCCATAAAGTAAGCCTTCACTTTTAAAAAAGCAAACCAATCTTTTTTAGTGAATTGGCTGTTGTTGGAGCTGGTATGTTTTACGATTGTGGACGTGATGTTTTTGATCGTATATCCTAGAATCGTTTAAATTATCAATCTAGGACTGATGGGAGCGGGAATCGCCAACGTGACTATTGATAAAGGAGTGAAGACGGTATGCTTTTTATAATAGACTCTTTCAATTATTACTTCAGGTGCTTCTCGATGTGAACGAGAGTGGCTTGGAAAGAGGACAAAATCAGATTTTGACACACCTCGCAACTGGAGTAAAGAGAAGAAAGATGACTCTTTTGGAAAAAGAAAGGTTTATGCGTTGCGTTATTTACATAACGAAATGTATTCAGGATTGTTTCCAACCTTGTTGCCACAACTGACTATCAGAAGATGAAAAACGCAGATATCGTCATTGAGGCTGTCTTCGAAGATATCGGATTGAAGCATAAAGTAAATTAATCTGCAAGATTTGTATTAACTTTTCTAGGTCATTAAACAAATTGAATCGATTGTTCGACCCGACTGTGTGGTAGCAACAAACACCTCAGCATTGCCTATCGCAGAAATCGCCAAAGCCAGCGCTCATCCGGAAAACGTTAGCATTAATCAAGCGTCTTCTCATTGAAATCCTTTTTAGGTGATTGGAATGCACTACTTTTCGCCAGTTGAAAAGATGCAACTGCTAGAGATTATCACACATGAGGGTACTTCTCAGCAAACGATCGCCACAGCTGCTCAATTGGGATTGAAACAAGGAAAACTCGTCGTTGTCGTTAAGGTATTTTTACTTTATGAGCTGTTAAAACTATTGTCATTAAGATTAATTGCATCTGTGCAAATAATGTACAATAAACATGTGGCAACAACTGAATAAATCTTTCTTTTAGGATTGCCCAGGGTTCTTTGTTGTACGCTGTCTTGCTCCAATCATGAGCGAAATCACCCGACTTCTTCAGGTGAAGACTTTTGATTTATTTCTTTTAACAATTATGTTTTAGGAGGGTGTGACTCCCGAACAGCTCGACAAAATTACAACCGATTTTGGCTTCCCTGTTGGTGCTGTGACTCTATCAGATGAAGTAAGTTTTACCGTTTTGCTGACTTATTTTAATTTTTAACAAAACTTTTTAGGTTGGTCTTGATGTAGCGGAACATGTCGCACATTTCCTCGCTGGAGCTCTTGGCGCACGTGTTGGAGGTGGAAACCCGCAAATTTATACGGATTTAGTGAGCTCGTTTTGTATTTTCTTCAATAAATAACTTCCAGGTTGCTGCTGGAATCAAAGGACGCAAGTCGAACAAAGGATTCTATCTCTATGGAGAAGGAAAGAAGGTAAACAACTTTATTCAGAATCTTCAATGGTTAGAATTTTAGGGTAGCAAGAAGGTGAACGAGGAGGCATTGAAGATCATTTCAAAGTATCGTGTAACTGCTCCAGCCGAAACTAACAATGTTGAGGTATCATTTTGTTTGATTAAATTGTTGCTAGTTGAAAAAGAATAGGAAATCAGACTAAATTGATGAAATAAATACAGGCAAATTAGCTTTGTAGATTGTACAAGGCTTGCCAGTACTCAAAATAGAATCGATGGAAAATTTTTAGGATCAACAGATTCGAGTGCTCTGCCGTTTCATCAACGAAGCCATGCATTGCTTGCAAGAGGGAGTCATTAGACAACCGGTTCGTTTTCTTTTTAATATCTTCAACTCTAGTTTACAAAGAAACCTTAGTGGAACAATATGTTAAATTGGTATCTAGCGATATTCTTCTCAACTCAAATCTTTTCTTTAGTCTGATGGAGATATAGCATCGGTGTTTGGCGTCGGATTCCCACCATTCTGGGGTGGTCCTTTCCGTTTCGTCGACCTTTATGGAGCCGAGAAACTCGTCGCCAAGATGGACAAATTCTCTCGTGTTTATGATCGACGACAATTCGAACCGGCACAAATTCTCGTGGTATGTACAATTTTTAATTAAGATAATGAAGATAATGTAGTAATTTGAAATCAAGTATTATGGAAATTTAATCATCTCTTCCCTTGTTAATTGTATTTTTCAGGACTATGCAAAATCGGGCAGGAAGTTCTACTAAATCGGTTCTTCTTTGTATATCGAAGGCTACGATTTCCTTTCTAGATCCCAATATAATTTCTTTTTTTTCTATGTAATCATACGAGTGTTTTGTTGCTCCGCTTTTTGAGAGAAAATCCTCCCAATGTGCCTATGCTGTGTTTAGGTGATAATGTTTTTTGATTTAATTCTTTTCTCTATAAAATTCTCTATTTGTGATTGTTGAGTGAATCACGTGTGATTTAGGTTTTCTTTAATTTAAACGTTTGTGTTTCTCCCACAAACCTTTATGCATTTCATTTGGTTGAGGAGATTTTTCTTTTTTTCTTTTTAGGTAGTGTGGCAGAAGGATATTTATTCTCTGGATTTGATAAATTTACTGAGCAAAAATAAGCACAAAAAACTTAGTAGTCGTCGATAGGAATATACAAAGTAGTAGGAAATACTTTTGAAATAGAAATGGAAAATTTTTTTTGGAGGCTAAGTTGCTGAATTTTTGAAAATTTGCATGGCGCCGAAAATTCGGTGGGTGAGTAGTTTTTGTCGGCGGTGTGTGCTCGATTATTTCCATCGGATGACAGTCTGGATAAGCGCTACCCTGGCTCGACTTTTTTTGTTGAAACACTAATAAGGGAAAGGCACAGAGTCATTATCAGATTTTCTGACTCTGAAACTGCTACGGCTGCTACTATGTAAATGGGCACGCTGAGTCTGAATCTGCAATCAAATTTTGCAGAACAGAACGCAAATGGAAAATGCTGTCAAAGCTTTAGGGCTCCCTTTAAGGCACTCCCTTTAAGGGGTTGACATCAAGTCGGTGTTTTGAAGTAGCCTTGGTCAACTGGTAGAGTGCGGGGATGCGGGACGATGGTTTGAGTTCGGGGGGTCGCGGGTTCGAGTCCGGCTGCAGTCTCGCAAGAGTTGGATTTCGATTTTTTCAAAAATCATTTCTTACTGAAGATTTCATATTATTCTATCTTGGATCCAAATTGACCAATTCACGCGAAAAAGAGATCGGAAAAATCGATTTTTCGAGGGATCAGGCTTTCTATTAGAGATTGCCCTTCTTTCTATTCGATTAGAGTCTTTCTATTGGAGTTGGAGTGAGCGCTTCTATTAGAATAATTATGATTTGTATATAAACTATAAAAAGCTAATAGCTATAAAAAAGCTATTCAATCCACAGAGATACAGAGATTTATTAGGTTTTTGGTGTAGAAAATATTAAATTATTCAGGCCGGCATTAATTCTTTCGAGCACTGTTTACTAGGTGATGCGAGAAGGGAAAAAGGGAGGGAATGAGAGAGACAACTGAATATCGAGAGGACGTAAAGAGTCAGAGCGACGCGCTCACGCAATTGATTTCTTTTCCCCAGCCACAGCTGGCTCGGGAAATTCGATTCTTTACAGCAATAATTTCCTGCAGTTCGATATAATTGTCTTTTTAAAGTGCCAGCTATTGCCATCTGGCTTCGCGTTAAACTGAAGCTCTCATTGAAATCAGCTCTCATTTTCTCTTTCGTTTATCAATTACTTTTGATAGTTTTTGTTTAGATTTTGTTTAGATTTGAATTAGATAGTTTTTTTATTCATATTTGGCTTATATTTGGCTTTATTTGGCTTAGATTTGACTTATTTGACTTAGATTTGGCTTATATTTGGCTTTATTTGGCTTATTTGGCTTTATTTGGCTTAGATTTGACTTTATTTGGCTTAGATTTGACTTAGATTTGACTTAGATTTGACTTATCTACCGTTTTACTCATTCTTTATCCTGTTACAAGCTTGAATCCTTTCTCCGTAGCCTCCTTGCGCCCAATTCGGTATTACGTTGTCCCATGAAAACCCAGAGGTTCCGGATTTCATTTAGTTTATAATCAGAAACAAATTATAGACCTTCCAAATGAATTTCTAGCCTTTCTCCAACGTTTTGGTAGCTTGCAAATCCTAGCTGGCCAATCCTAGCCTACCAATCCTAGCTTGCCAATCCTAGCTGGCCAATCCTAGCCTACCAATCCTAGCCTACCAATCCTAGCCTATCAATCCTAGCCTATCAATCCTAGCCTATCAATCCTAGCCTATCAATCCTAGCCTATCAATCCTAGCCTATCAATCCTAGCCTATCAATCCTAGCCTATCAATCCTAGCCTATCAATCCTAGCCTATCAATCCTAGCTTATCAATCCTAGCTTATCAATCCAGTTCGTAAAACATAAAACCTAAGATAAGATAGATAACAAGAAGTCTTTAAAAGCAAGCTTTAAGCAAACTTTAAGCAAACTTTAAGATAAAACTTTAAGCGCAAATTTAAGAGCAAATCTAAGATCAAATCTAAGATCAAATTGAAGATCAAATTTAAGATCAAATTTAAGCGCAAATTTAAGAGCAAACTTTAACAGCAAACTTTAAGAGCAAATTTAAGCGCAAATCTAAGAGCAAACATTAAGCTGAATATCGACTTTTTCTATCTCTTAAACCTTTTCAATATACTTTTTTTTAAATTCAGTATTAAACCGAGCTCAATTTTTCTTATTTTCTTGATGTCCACATAGCTCAAAAACACCATGGAATCATTCGAAGAGGCAGCTTTCGCTCTTGTTCAATCGTAAGCTCTTATAAATTATAAAATATAATAAAAAAATGATAAAAATGACAAAAGAATAGCTAGAAATTGCGAAAAATAGCTAAAAATTGAGAAAAATCGATAAAAATGACAAAAATCTAATCTAAATCTAATCAAAATCCTTTCCAGAATGAGCCCGTCAAAAAATCTCGCCATAGAGGACGTTCCCTATGATTCGCTTAAGGTAAAACTTTGTTTAAGATTCAAGTTTAGCTTTCAGTTTAACTTCCAGTTTAGCTTTCAGTTTAGCTTTCAGTTTAACCCTAACAAATAATAAATCTATATCTAAAGCTACAACAATGGCTGTCATTCCAGGCTGTCATCTCGAATTGTCTTGGGCGGAAGGGAACCAAACTCGACGAGGGATACAATGGAAATGGGACGGTCAATAAAAAGTTCAAGGTTTTTGAAAAGTTTTCAAGTTTCCAAGTTTCCAAGACTTCAAGTCAAAGTCCAGGTCCAAGTCCAGGTCCAAGTCCAAGTCCAACTCCAAGTTCTATTGAACTCAAATCTTGTAAACCCACTCTTTCGGGTGTATTGAAAGCTTCATTTTCTTTGAATTCTGAATTCTTTACTGAAATCATGCTAAAATTGAAGGATTCATGGCAAAATTGAAGAAATTAGTGAGCTGGAGATCAGTGAGCTGGAGATCAGTGAGCTGGAGATCAGTGAGCTGGAGATCAGTGAGCTGGAGATCAGTGAGCTGGAGATCAGTGAGCTGGAGTTCGGTGAGCTGGGATTCAGTGAGCTGGAGTTCAGTGAGCTGGAGCTCAGTGAGCTGGAGCTCAGTGAGCTGGGACTCAGTGAGCTGGGATTCAGTGAGCTGGGATTCAGTGAGCTCCAAGTCCTCATAAAGCTCCAAGTCCAAGTCAATTCAGTGAGCTGGGATTCAGGGAGCTGAAGTCCAAGTCCAAGTCCAAGTCCAAGTCAAGTCCAAATCGAAGTCAATTCAGTGAGCTGGCATTCAGCGAGCTGCAATTCAGTGAGCTGGAAAGGCTGCGTTTACAAATTTCAGCACAAAGAATCTAGAGAAATGCTGTGATCATTTGAAAACTGTAAACACTGTAAAACTGTCAACACACCCTTTCTGGCGTATTTCCCTATACTAAATGTAAATCGATTTAGTATGACGATGAGTCAAGCGAGCAGAACAAATCAAATGGAATCTTCAGGCGGCCATCATTTTGTGAGTGTCATTTTTTGCAGGATTATCGCATCGCATTTTTACAGGATTATCACAACAACATAAATTTCTGATTTTAAGGCAGACAAGAGCAAAAAAAAGACAAATTTTTAACTAAATAACATTTATTGTACAAAAATTTTTTCAAATTTTAACCATGTGGTCCCCCACATGAGTCAAAATCTTTAAAAAAAAAAAATTTTCAATTTTTTTTGCCTTTATTAGTTAATTAAAGTTCGAAAATGAATATCTAATGATTAAAAATGGTTTTGGCTTTAGTTTTGGCTTTAGTTTTGGCCTTGAAAAGTGCCCCAATCGTCGATAGTTTTGGTGAGACAGCGATATAGTGAATGAGTGAAGTAGACTATAGAAGCGCGCACTTTGAAGCCCCAAAGCTTTGCTTGAAACGCTTTTTCCAAAGCTATTATTGTGTTTTTTTTGGAATCTACGTCTAAAGCTAGTCTAAAAAAAGTGATTTTGAAGAAAAAGAAGCAAAAAGTGGCTTTTTAACCATAGAAAAACGGCACTTTAGCGCACTAATCTTCAAGGCGGTTTTTCTCTGTTTTTATTAAAGAGTATACAAAACAAATCTTACTTTTCTACAACCAAATTTAATGAGGATTCTTTTAAAACCAACCCCAAGTCGATTCCATTCCCATACCTCGAGTTATAGCCCATCCAAGTTGATCAACTTCGCCGGGTAGGTAGTTCAACTTTGACACAAATTTTCTCTATGTTCTTACATTAGAGTATACAAAATAAATTGTACTTTTCTATAACCAAATCTCATAAGGATCATTTTAAAACCAACCCCCAGTCGATCTGACAATTGGAAGTCGAGTTATAGAGTAAAATAGAGAAGTCCCCAAACTTCGAGACTTCTATCTGGAAGGTCAACTTTGACTCAAATTTTCTCTATGTTTTTATCGGTGTTTCTATAAAACAAATCCTACTTTTCTATAACCAAACTTAATGAAGATTCTAATAAAATCAACCATAAGTTGATTGAGCTTCTATACCTCGAGTTATAGACCGCCAAAGTTGATTGACTTCTTCAGGCAAGTAAGTCAACTTTGACTGGAATTTTCTTACATGGATGTTCTTACACAAGAGTATACCAAACAGATTCTACTTTTCTATAACCAAATTTAATGAGGATTCTTTTAAAAGCAATTACAAGTTGATTCCATTCCCATACCTCGAGTTATAGACCATCCAAGTTGATCAACTTCTCCGGGTAGGTAGTTCAACTTTGACTCGAATTTTCTCTATGTTCTTACATTAGAGTATACAAAATAAATTGTACTTTTCTATAACCAAATTTCATAAGGATCATTTTAAAACCAACCACAAGTCGATCTAGTAAACTTTATGAGTACCATGGTGGTTACAGCTCTTGGTGGAGAGGACGAGGACTCTCGGATGTCGGATTCTCGTCTTTCTGCTGGCCCATCCGACGAATCAATCACGACAAATGATGAGGAATCGAGAAGCAGTGTAATTTTAGAACATGATATAGCTATTATTCCAAATTTTCAGAATCTCTCCTTTTCAAAGCGCAAAATTCATCACGGATCGGGGCATTCGTTGTCGAATGGAATGAAATGTAAATAACAGATAAATAACAGTTAATAACCGTTAAATAACAGTTACTAACAGTTAATAACATATAATAACAGTTAATAACGGATAATAACCGTTAAATAACAGTTAATAACAGTTAATAACAGTTACTAACAGCTACTAACAATCAATAACAGTTAATACCAGTTAATACCAGTTAATACCAGTTAATAACAGCCAATTTTAAGAGATTATTCAAAATATTATTGATTCTAATATCTAGATAAAGTTTAAATTTCAGTGAATCTATCTGGCTTCAGTCTCCGGCAAATTAAACGCGCAAAACGAATCCAAGAGATGCGAGAGTTGCGAAGGAAACAAGCCATGCATGAGGAATTCACGGAATTCGGTATTCGGTCATTAATCTTTACTGAATCGCTGAATATTTACTTTATGCTTAAGTGTAAACGTATCCTTTCTAAAGCACTCAATTTCCCCTATAAGTGTGCTCTTTTTAAACAACGTTCTATAGAGAAAAAGTTGAGAGGCTATAGAGGAAAAGTTGAAAACTTGAATTGATTAGACTAGACACTATTTCTGGAGAGGTGCTTATGATCTTTTTAAGAGCTTTTTAAGAGCTTTTTAAGATCTATTTAGGATCTCTTTAAGCTCTCTTTAAGCTCTATTTAAGCTCTCTTTAAGCTATCTTTAAGATCTCTTTAAGATCTCTTTATGCTCTATTTAAGCTCTCTTTAAACTCTCTTTAAACTCTCTTTTCTTTAAAATCTCCTCTATCATTTGATTGTTAGATCTTCAGGATTTATCTCCAGTAAAAAAACAGAACGATTGACAGAATTTTTCGGCATTCTAAGCCTCCTGAAGTGAGCTCAATCTAGCCTCAATCTAGCCTCTCAGATAATTGTGCGCTATCTTGTTTGCTAGACTTTAAAAAAGTTACTGTAAGCGGAAAAGATTGCAAGTCGAAATCAACTCTATTCAGGAATGACAAATGATGAGCTTTCTTGGGACACATTTCTCTCGTGGTGGGAGACAACGATGACGCAAGATGCTCAAATTCTTTTTCTCTTTCATCAAACGATCAACTCGTTGCGGAATCATTTCTCTCGACACACTTGGTCGACAAATGTTGAGGTTTGAAAGCTCAACAAATTACAGTAGAATGTGTTCCTCATGATTAAATGATTGGTGACGAGGTGACGTGACAATAATCTTTTTCCATGTTGAACTTGAATGAAACTATTGGGTTAGTGAATTGAAAACTGCCGGACTTTGAACTAAAATTTATTCAACATAAAACCATAAATTCATTCCAAATAATTTCCATTATTATTGACGACTTTGGGTTGGTGAATTGAAAACTGCCGGCTATTGTCATATGTGACAGTTTGAGCACTTTCTTTAAAAGAAACCCATTTTGGTGTCAATGGAAAAAAAAGACTGAAAAAATAAAACACGACGAAAGACTGAAAAATTCTTTGTGGCGGGGTCTTTTTATTGCGTCGGGTTACGGTAGTTTCCGACGTTTGGCGCGGAAACGTCTGAAAGGCAAAGTGTACAGTAAGACGATAGTCAGGAAAAACAGGTACAAAAAGATTAAATATAAGGCAGATTTGACATGGCAATTAGATCTAATTCGTTTAAAGAAACTTTTGAATTTTCCTACAGACGAGAAAATACCAGGCTGGGAGCTTAATTTCCAAAAACCCTACTAATACGTTTCGCTAAAGAATCGATTTTGTAAAGGGAAATTTGGTGGGGATTTTGAGAACCAGTTTTTGAGTTCGAAAATTTGGATATAAGTTTCGGGGGTTTGATGACTTATGACAATAGCCCGCAGTTTTCAATTCACCAACCCAATAAATTCAAAATAATAATAAATAATTAATAATTAAAAAAGTAATTAAACAAATTGGGTTTAATTTCTTTTTACTTTAAATCAATTTAAAGGAATTCTCTCTTGAAATAATAAAATTCTGACGACAGGTGCCTTTCGGACCGTCCACCGTACACTTTGCCTTTCAGACGTTTCCACGCCAAACGTCGGAAACTACCGTAACCCGACACAATAAAAGGACCCCGCCACAAAGAATTTTTCAGTCTTTCGTCGTGTTTTATTTTTTCAGTCTTTTCATTGACACCAAAATGGGTTTCTTTTAAAGAAAGTGCTCAAACTGTCACATATGACAATAGCCGGCAGTTTTCAATTCACCAACCCAATATGTTGATGGATCCAGGTCCACCCTTTTGACAAATTCAGCTACTTTTTGAGCCAAACCAGTAATAAAGCTGAACAATGCTAGGATCTGAAGCCGGAAAAAGGTTATCGGACATTCGATACAAGCTCCGTCCCTTTTGCCACTGGCAATTCAACTTCGAGCTCAAATATCTTGGTGTAGCCGGCAGTTTTCAATTCACCAACCCAATACTATTTGAGAAAAAAAATCATATAGTCAAGTTTATCAGAAGAAATCTGGGAAGAATTTATCGCTTGATTCTCTACAACTTTTCCATTGACACCAAAATGAGTTTCAAAAAGGAAAAATCATCGTCCAAACTTTTTTTTACCAAACTTTCTTGCCAACTTAACAGAATTTTCTTTTATCATTCAAAAAGTGACCAAATCACTACACTTTTATGAGTTAATTTAAAGAAAACAATCAGATTTACACAATTTTAGGAACAAGTTATCAAATTCTTGAAGGAAACAGTGCCAATGCTTCGTCGTCACATTGCCGCCTCACGTGAACGGGTGAAAACAAATTAAAACAATACAAAATAATATTTTGCGACTTTAGTCCTCCGAAATCGGTCCCACCCAGCAAGTGAAAGAGGCCGAATTGTTGATCATGCTCGAGATGCACATTTTGACCAATAAAATTGGATCCGCAAGCAAAGAGGTGAAATCATCGATATCTTATTTGATTATACGAATATTTATTATCATATTTATTCTAATAGAAGAATAGTTTACAATAGAAAAGATAATAGAAAGCCCACCACCGTGACACTCTTCAAAATCGGAACTTTTCAAGAATTCTTTTTAGTTAAACTTATCGATATGGCTCTAGATAGATGTACTTTACAGTAAAATAAGTTTACTTTGACAGTAAAATGGGAAACGGCCATCCTTGATCAGATGCCGTAGATTAAATACGGCATCTGATCAAGAACTTTTACATATATTTCTTTTCTAGCAAGAGATCAAACAGAACAACAATGATTCGGAGGTGGATTGGACGCGTTTCGTGAACAAGGTAAGACTGGCATTAAAGAAATAGCCTTTTAGCAATAGCAATAGCCTTTTAGCAATAGCAATAGCCTTTTAGCAATAGCAATAGCCTTTTAGCAATAGCAATAGCCAATAGCAATAGCAATAGCCTTTTAGCAATAGCAATAGCCTTTTAGCAATAGCAATAGCCTTTTAGCAATAGCAATAGCCTTTTAGCAATAGCAATAGCCTTTAGCAATAGCAATAGCCTTTTAGCAATAGCAATAGCCAATAGCAATAGGTAATAGTGTGAAAGCACTCTTCCCGACCCACGTTTTTCTTGTGCAACTGGAGAATTTTTGCAGATGGTCTCCGATTTGCGTTTCATTTTCACCGCCGTCAACACCACGTACATGAGGGGTTTTCTGGAGGAAACCCTATGTGACACGTGAGTGCTAAAGCATTTAATAGGTTGATGCATAAGTCTTTTCGTTTTTTTCGTACTTCTGTTAAAAAGTAACAAATTCACGAATTAATCTATAGTTTGCTCTATAAAAAAAGTGTTTTTTTTTGTTAAATTTCCATCTTTTTAAATGAATTTCGGTTCACTTTCAAGCAAATTCGAGAGTGAAAAACGCCTTTTGTCGTAAAAATCTATAAAAAAACTCTACGGAAAAATTGGCTGAATGAATTTCTCTGAAATTTTGGCGAACGTTTTTTTTCTCTATCTTTTATCTATTGACACGAAGATAGGTTTTCTTTAGCTAAGGAGCACGTGTGGCTGACTGGTTAAGTGTCTTTTATCTTAATCGGAAGGTCGAGGGTTCGAACCCCACATGCGACATGGTCACCCCCTTCGGATTTCCTTTCCCTTCGGGTTGAGAGGTTTTCTGGAGGGCAGTCTGGTGGTTGTGGCCCCAGTTCTTTAAAGTGACAAGCCACTCCTTCATCGTCATCTTCCCTTCACCACCAAAAAAGCTATTTAGTTCCCCATTGAGCTTAGGGTTAGGGAGCCGTCTGTCATGACGTGGGTTAAGTTAAGATATAGCCTAGTATTGTGTGTGTCGTTGTATTGTGATTGATATATTTCGTGTATGCGATAAATTCACCACTGGTAGCCCCAGTCGGTATTTTTTTAAGGTGTCTAAACCGCATCATCGAGTTAGCCCTTTTTGACTACCCGACTTCATACTCTCAAGAAAATCCAGGCTTTAAATATTTTTCAACCCGTTTTAATGCTATTTTGCAGAAAAATAATTGCTTTTTCTAATGAAATCAACCGTAGTTTAATTGGTGCATTTGTTGGCTTGAAACGGCAAAAGAAAAGGAAGCAAAGGAAAAGGAACAAAAAGACTTATGCATCAACCTAATAGATCTCTTTCTGACCGCCGCCCGATCACGAGAAATTCGTTTATAAAGATAAACTCAAGAAAACTAGAATTCTAGATTTAAGTTCTAGATTTGAATTCTAGATTTGAATTCTAGATTTTCCCACATAATCCCCCGTACACTGGCCGAGATCTTCGATGAGTTGTGCATCGCGATGCCGCCCGATCTCGAGGAATTCGCTACGAACTCAAACTCGGCACCACCGTCCGGTGGAAATTCCCCATCAAAGGGTTGGTTTAAATTGAAAAATGATATCAAATATTATTGATTAGCTTTGGAATTGATTTGAATTTGATTTGAATGATTTGAATTTGATTTGAATGTTCCTAAAAAGCTGAGTACAATGTTCGAAAAGTGTTGTACATGAAAAAGTGTTGTACAATGCTCAAAAAGTGTTGTACAATGATCAAAAAGTGTTGTACAATGCTCAAAAAGTGTTGTACAATGTTCAAAAGTGTTGTACAATGTTCAAAAGTGTTGTACAATGCTCAAAAGTGTTGTACAATGTTCAAAAGTGTTGTACAATGTTCAAAAGTGTTGTACAATGTTCAAAAGTGTTGTACAATGTTCAAAAGTGTTGTACAATGTTCAAAAGTGTTGTACAATGTTCAAAAGTGTTGTACAATGCTCAAAAGTGTTGTACAATGCTCAAAAAGTGTTGTACAATGTTCAAAAGTGTTGTACAATGCTCAAAAAGTGTTGTACAATGTTCAAAAGTGTTGTACAATGTTCAAAAAGTGTTGTACAATGTTCAAAAGTGTTGTACAATGCTCAAAAAGTGTTGTACAATGCTCAAAAAGAGAGCTTAGCTGTAAGGAGTTAAATTTTCCTTTAAATGGAGCTGTTTTTGAGATCGGACTCGAAAAATGAGCTAATCTTTATTTTGGGTCATCTAAAGATTTAAACCTGACTCGTAAACACTAGCTTTCAACAAAATACTCGACTCTACTCTACTTCTACAGTCATCAAAAGACTTTTTGATGATTGTAGAAGTCGAGATCGAATATTTTCACCTCCCAAATAATTAAAGCAAACAATTTTTTTTGGAAAAATGACCGCTTCAGAAACAAAATTTTTAGCGAATAATCCAGCCAATGTGTTCTTCTTTCCATTGTTATAAATAAAATTTTTCGGCCTTTTTCTCGACACTGGTTTATGCTACAATGCGCGCTTAGGTATCAAAAAATAGCTGAAATTCAGAGCTATTTTTTGATCTTAAAGATAAATTTTTTAAAAGTACGAAAAGACTCTTTGGACAGTCTAATAGAGCTACAGTTTGGCTTTGGCTTACAGTTCAGCTTTGGCTACAGTTTGGCTTAGGCTTAGAGCTTTGAGTTTTGGCTTTGGCTACAGTTGGGCTTTGGCTACAGTTCAGCTTTAGCTTAGAGCTCTGAGCTTTGGCTTTGGCTACAGTTCGGCTTTGGCTTAGAGCTCTGAGCTTTGGCTTTGGCTACAGTTCAGCTTTAGCTTAGAGCTCTGAGCTTTGGCTTTGGCTACAGTTCAGCTTTAGCTTAGAGCTCTGAGCTTTGGCTTTGGCTACAGTTCGCCTTTGGCTTTAAGTTTTGAGCTTTAAAATCTCCTTAACATACCCACTTTTATCTATTAGACTGTCCAAAGAATCTTTTCGTTCCTTTTTGTCTTTTCGTACTTTTAAAAAACTTATCTTTAAGATCAAAAAATAGCCCTGAATTTCAGCTATTTTTTGATACCTAAGCGAGCATTGTAGCATAAACCAGTGTCGAGAAAAACTCGTTCAAAGCTAGACTACGCAACGCTCCGCACCGTCATTATGGGGGCAGGGTACTATTACAGTGTTTACGGTAATTTGAAAACTAGAGCACATTGGCTAGTCTTTTAGGTTATTTAGAGATTATTTAGATATTAGATAAACGATCATATTTTTCCTAAAAAATTTCTCTAAAAAATTTTTCCTAAAAAATTTCTCTAAAAATTTTTTCTAAAAAATTTTTGTTTTAATTTTTGAGGCGATGAGTCATTTTTTGGATGACTTTATAATTTCTGTACTTTTCTATAATACTTATGTTGTGCTTTTAATGTGTACGGTAACTTAGCAAAGCTTTATTTGTCTTAGGTGATCTTCATCGAACCGACTCCGTTCACAGCGGATCGATCACCGAGTTTTGCCAAACAAAAGGTTTGTTGAGAGCTTAAATGATACTGTAAATGATACTGCAAGGGTACTGTAAAAGTCTTAACATTAAAAAGGTTATTGGCTTCAATATTTGGCTTATTATTTGGCTATTCATTTATGGGCTTCAATATTATTCAATCATTGGCTTCAAAACTATCCAATTATTGGCTTCAATATTATTCAGCTATTGGCTTCAATATTATTCAATTATTGGCTTCAAAATCATCCAATTATTAGCTTCAATACTATCCAATTATTGGCTTCAATATTATCCAATTATTGGCTTCAATATTATTCAATCATTGGCTTCAAAACTATCCAATCATTGGCTTCAAAACTATCCAATTATTGGCTTCAATATTATCCAATTATTCGCTTCAATATTATTCAATCATTCGCTCCAATATTATCCCATTATTGCCTTCAATATAACAATGCAAATTTAGCATCAAATTCGAGAAACGCACTCGATCAGCTCTTCGACGAGCTCAACGAACCGAGCGCTCGAAGTGACTCAAGTCAACTTGTCAACAATTCTTCGAAAAGTAAACCTGGGATTTCTGACGCTGACGTTGACTGTGAGTTAACAATTACATTTTAAAATAAAATTCATAACAGATAAACGAAAAGCTAAAGACAACACTCTCTCGAAATTCGCCAAGCGAAAAATCGTCCCCGAAACACCCGAGAAAAAGCTTCAGTGAGTTGGAAAATAGAAAGAAATGATGAAAATGATAAAAGTGATTGGTTCATGATTGGTTAATGATTGGTTAATGATTGGTTAGTGATTGGTTAGTGATTGGTTAGTGATTGGTTAATGATTGGTTCATGATTGGTTAGTGATTGGTTAATGGTTGGTTAATGGTTGGTTAGTGATTGGTTAGTGATTGGTTAATGGTTGGTTAATGGTTGGTTAGTGATTGGTTAGTGATTGGTTAGTGATTGGTTCATGATTGGTTAATGGTTGGTTCATGATTGGTTAGTGATTGGTTAGTGATTGGTTAATGATTGGTTAATGATTCCTTAATAATTGGTTAATCATTGCTTATGAATGGAAAATAGGAAAGAATTGTTTGTTTGATTCAAAGTTTGATTCTTTTGAATTGTAATCTAGAAAGCTGCATCGAAAAGTCGAGGATAACGAGGAGATCCTGGCGACTCCGATCGCAAAGATGCAACGAGGAAAGGACAAAAGAAAAGAGCAAAGGTGACACCGGAAAAAGACACTTAAAACTACCGTAATCGACACTTGATCAGCTCGATTTTTCTTATCTGAGCAGAGCCTTATGATTCCTGAAACAAAAATTGAGTTATCGGACATTTGATAAGCGCCCTGCCCATTTCCCATTGGCAATCCAACTTTGAGCTCAAATATCTTGGTTTTGGGGCGTTCAATTTGAATGTTCTTGATATCATTCGATGCACCAAGTCTTTCTCTGTCGATTGGTATAAAAATTATTTCAATTGAACAACCCAACGTCGAGATATTTGAGTTCAAAGTTGGATTGACAATGGCAAAGGTGGGATGCCTTTTATACGCGCCCCGCCCCTTTCTGATCGCATAAAACTGGTTGGATTACTGTAGTTTTTAGAGTACCGTAGTATTTGACTCATTGTAATTTTTCAGACTCTCAGAAGTGATCCGGAAAAGTGAGGAGAGGCTCGTGCGGCAACCGAGAGCTGCCGCGGTGGCCAGTGAAAAGGCCAGTCGGGCAATTATTCAGGTAAAAGGCGCTTTTTCCGAATAACACTCCTGTTTACTGTAGAAGAACTACAGTAAGCCGGGTACTAGACATACTGTAGTACTGTAGTACTGATGTAAGTACAGTAAGGGATGCGCTTACATGAAAGCACAAAGTATACGCAGAACAGCAAATAAATTCCTGGCTATCTCTAAGATTTTTTGATTAAAATAACTAGTGTGACATCCAGATCGACGTCTGGCTAAAAAATTAAACTAAATGCGCTAGCAGGGATGCATTTACGAGCACGAACTCGAGAACTCACCTTCTCGTTCATTTTTTCCAAACTTTTCTGTTGCTGTGCTGTTAATAGAGCTGCTTTTAATCAGTCCGAGTACATTTTTGGGCACTTCGACTATCAGATCAAGATTTCTGAAGGGTTTAATGCATTAGAAATGATTGGTTTACAGAATTTTTGGCATTTCGCATAAAAAAAGAGAGCCCAGGCAAAGTGCTGTAAAATGTAGACGATCGTGGTTTCATACTGAAGCTTTACGTTGAAGCCAGCTTGTTTGAAGCATCGGTTTTTTCACGTTGAAGCCAGCTTTACGTTGAAGCCAGCTTTACGTTGAAGCCAGCTTTACGTTGAAGCCTGCTTTACGTTGAAGCCAGCTTTACGTTGAAGCCAGCTTTACGTTGAAGCCAGCTTTACGTTGAAGCCAGCTTTACGTGAAGCCAGCTTTACGTTGAAGCCAGCTTTACGTTGAAGCCAGCTTTACGTTGAAGCCAGCTTTACGTTGAAGCCAGCTTTACGTTGAAGCCAGCTTTACGTTGAAGCCAGCTTTACGTTGAAGCCAGCTTTACGTTGAAGCCAGCTTTACGTTGAAGCCAGCTTTACGTTGAAGCCTGCTTTACGTTGAAGCCAGCTTTACGTTGAAGCTTTACAGCTTGTTTTTCTCTCTATAAAGTACAGTACACTTGAAGGAAAGCGAAATAAAGCGAATAAAGCCAAAATTTCAGGCGGTCTCCTTATCAGAAGTGCCAAAAACTTCAAAAGAAACATTTCTGTCGCTGAATCGCTCGTCAACGCGACCATCAAAAGCGCGCACGAATTTGACAAGTCTTTTTGAAAATTCTAAATAAATAAATAAGGCAAAAGTTTGTTTTAAAATGATTTTTCTGATTTTTTTGATTTTCTGATTTTTCTGATTTCTCTGATTTTTCTGATTTCTCTGATTTCTCTGATTTTTCTGATTTTTCTGATTTTCTGATGATTTATCTAATGATTTATTGATGATTTATTAATGATTTTATCTTTTAAACATCTTATTTTATCTTCTATTCCTCTGCTCTTAATAGAGCTGATGATTTCTTCATTTTTCTTCATTTTCTCCAGACAATTTGTAAATATTCTTTTCTTTTTGCTCATCTCTTTGTCAATATTTATTGGGATTTCAGTTTTCTTTCACCGAAAGTTCAATAAATGTTCGGGGTTTTCGTGAAATTTTGTTGTTTAAGCATTGTTTAAGCAATGTTTATATTGATGGTTATCTTTCGCTTTCGATTAGAGCTTTGGCTTTGGCTTACAGCTGGGCTTTGGCTACAGCTGGACTTTGGCTACAGCTGGGCTTTGGCTTACAGCTGGACTTTGGCTACAGCTGGGCTTTGGCTACAGCTGAGCTTTGGCTTAGAGCTCTGAGCTTTGGCTACAGTTCAGCTTAGGCTTAGAGCTTTGGGCTTTGGCTTACAGTTTGGCTTTGGCTTACAGTTCAGCCTTGGCTACAGTTTGGCTTGGGCTTAGAGCTCTGAGCTTTGGCTTTGGCTTACAGTTCAGCTTTGGCTTTGAGTTTTGGCCTTGGCTACAGTTCAGCTTTGGCTTACAGTTCAGCTTTGGCTACAGTTCAGCTTTGGCTTACAGTTCAGCTTTGGCTACAGTTCAGCTTAGGCTTAGAGCTCAGAGCTTTGGCTTTGGCTACAGTTCAGCTTTGGCTCAGAGCTTAGAGCTTTACAATCTCCTTAACATGCCCACTTTTATCTATTAGACTGTCCAAAGAGTCTTTTCGTTCCTTTTTGTCTTTTCGTACTTTTAAAAAATTTATCTGTAATAATCTTTAATTTCTTTAAGATCAAAAAATAGCCCTGAATTTCAGCTATTTTTTGATACCTAAGCGAGCATTGTAGCATAAACCAGTGTCGAGAAAAACGCGTTCAAAGCTAGACTACGCAACACTCCACACCGTCATTATGAGGGTTGGGTTTGGTATTTAGGTTTATCCATGAATTTGCTATTTTAAGCAAATACGAAAAGGAACGCGAAGACTTTTTTTGAAAGCTTAATAAAGTTATCAAATCTTTCTCTTTTTAGATGAAACGCAGTCGTCGTAGCTCAATTCCACCGAAACGTCTGACCTATTCGATGCCTTCAACTCCGACAAAATCCTCGAAATCAGCTCCAAATTCCACTCACACATCACCAACAAAAGAAGCTGCTTTACGCGTTCTCAAAAAAGCGCTTTCCAGAGAGAAAGTTGTAAAAGGTAAAGTCTAAAGTCTAAAGTCTAAAAGTCTAAAGGTCTAAAGTCTTCTAGGCTAAAAGGTAAAGATAAAGCTTCTCTAAAGGCTGTCAAAGATCGATCTAAAGGCTAAAGCAAAGCTTCTCTAATTAGGGAAAGGCTGTCAAAGATTAAAAGATCAAAAGCACTTTCCGTGGCCTTTTTTCGAATGCGACCAAACCCATCTTATAAAATCGTTCACGCTGAGTTCGAATCTGCTTTTAGTTTTTGCCTTCGAGGCTTGTAACGCAAGATATCTGGCTTACAAGTTTTGGTTGTATTTTTGATCTCTATTTGACCATCCTATCTGATGGAATGGCTTCTACACCATAGGTATAAAGACCCTAGCCAGCATTGTCAGCCAGCCAGCATTGTCAGCCAGCCAGCATTGTCAGCCAGCCAGCATTGTCAGCCAGCCAGCATTGTCAGCCAGCCAGCATTGTCAGCCAGCCAGCATTGTCAGCCAGCCAGCATTGTCAGCCAGCCAGCATTGTCAGCCAGCCAGCATTGTCAGCCAGCCAGCATTGCCAGCCAGCCAGCATTGCCAGCCAGCCAGCATTGCCAGCCAGCCAGCATTGCCAGCCAGCCAGCATTGCCAGCCAGCCAGCATTGCCAGCCAGCCAGCATTGCAGATCCCATTCTTCCGTGGTCACCAGTTGGAAATAGGGAAGATCAAAAACTAGTGTGCCGCCGGGCCACGAACCCGCGATCTTTTACCACGACGCAACTCTGCTAACCATTACACCACGACGCACTTGGTCTCCCTTACTCCAGTGGGAGTTAAGCAACCGAAAAGGAACGAAAAGACTTTCCGGGCAGCCTAATAAACTAGAAATGAGTTCGGTCGGTCGTTCTTTGCGCTCCGACATCAACTAAGTCGATCTAGCACACTCAATTCCTCGTTTTTCTGGCAGCAGTTTGGTTTGGGGATTTGGGTGTGCCAGATCGATTTAGTTTACATCGGAGCGCAAAGAACGAAAAGAAACCCATGCCTATAATAGACTAAACATCTCAAAAAGCTACCGTACCCCATTGCCTTTTAAAGTAATAAGGAGCTTGACTTTTTGCACCTAAAGGCTCATCTAATGAAGCTGAATTTCACACATCTATCAATGACTCTAGCTACCGTAAGATCAAAAAGACAACTGGCTTACCGTGGCTGGTTTACCGTGGCTGGCTTACCGTGGCTTTTCACTTTTCGATCGTCATCAAACATCAAGCATTTCAGGGCTCAAATCGAAATGCATCTCGTTGCCATCATCGCCAAAAAAGGTGGCAAAGATTTCGATCAAGGTTTGTCAAATAAAAAACATTCAACAATTTTTTTTTCCATTATCCATTTTTCCATTATCTATTTGCCAATATCTATTCTCTATTTTCACAAGAATTTCCCCAAATTTCAGCGTCAAAATTTCGTCTTCAAGCCGCGTCGCTTTGGGCTCACCGACGAGAAACTCAAACAGATTCAAAAAGCCCGAGCCGAGATCATAAAAGCTGAGAAATCGGGAGACGATGTGAGATTTTATTAGAGTGTATTCCTTATTTATTTATTTTTATTTATTACTTATTTATTTTATTAGAGTGTAAGCAATTACTCGAGTAAATTTGCATTGAACCAAGCAATTGAACCCTCGACCTTTTGCTTACCAGGCAGATGCTCTACCACCGAGCTATCGACGCCTTCTTTGCCTAGAAAGAAATAGGAAAGACAAGAAAGAGAAATTCACTTCCGATTGATTCTTAAAGAGATCCGAAAAATCCAAAAAATCCGAAAAACTCGAAAATCCGCATCCACTTTAGGCAATTCGAGAAGTCGTCGCCAAAACGCGTCAAGAAATTATCGTTGGAAATGAAACGGCTTCGGTAAGTGGTGCACTTTGTGCTCGAATCTGTAAACGCACTTTTGCATTGAATGCATTTCGGTGCATTGAATTCTTTCTTGTGGCATTGCACCTTTGCTGCAAGAAGTAAGGAATTCAGTGTGTCAGAAAGGGTGTTTTTACAGATTTGAACAAAACCTATCCAAAAATCACCCACTTCATTGTCAACTCTAGATGCAACGCAATCGAACAGGTCGCATGGTGCGACACACAAATAAAGTGTTCGTCTCGCACATTCTCGTCAACACTTTCAACTACAACAAATTGAAGCCAAACGACGTAATGTTCACGAAATTTCAAATAATCTTCTTTCTTTAGCCAGTTTGCAATGTGAAGGGACAGATCTACTTTGATAAAGTCGAGGCGGGAAATCTCCGCTGGAAAGACATCGTAAATCTGAAGAAGAGGAAACTTTTGACGGGAAAACGTCACAAAAGAAAAGGAAAGGGCAATAAAGTGAGTAATGCCTTATATTAGCTGTCCAGGCTGTTCAGGCCTTAATTACAATGCAGCCATTTCAGGAGTGTTCAAGTAGTGAAACCTCTTCGGTCAATGGCAAAGTCGAGCCAATCCAAGCACCGGAAATTTCTAATCACCAACCAACTGCCGCAGAAACGATCCAAGACAACAGTGATGAAGAAGAGCTATGAAATTAAGATATCACTTATTGTACAGGATATTCGGTTGCAATTTTTAAATACAAGTTCGGATCTACTCTATTCAAACCGTACCATCTTCACTTTGATAGATCTCTAACGTCTAATGATCACTAAACCTTTTCAAATCATTGCTTTCAATTTTGTATCTTTCGTTCACAACGGGTCCAATTAACTTGTCACCAAATAAACTTTAAACACAGCCGTAACCGCAAATCCATAAATTCACACAACAACCGCATGTTTGTCAGAAGCCCTCACATTCTTTCGGTCGACGCCCAAAACTTTGTTATGTCTCTAAAGTCTTTTATTTGTTCACAAAAAACTTTATTTACTTACAAACACAAGAGGGATTCAACAAAATGTATTACTAAACACCATTGAGCTTGCAAAGAAAAGACCTAGAGCTGTCCACAATCCGAAATGGTCACCACCGCCGAAGTCTTCCCACTTTGCGAGCCATACGATTCGACGGTCTTGACAACATCAAGCCCTTCAACGACGCGTCCGAATACGACATGCTTTCCATCGAGCCAAGCAGTTTTCACGGTGCAGATGAAGAATTGAGAGCCGTTGGTGTTGGGGCCGGCATTAGCCTAAATAAAAACCATTTAAAGTCTCGAAAAATTTAATACTTAGGTGCTTAGCTCGATAGCATTTTTATAGATAAATTAATTTGAGACTAAAGTGATTTTAATCCTACCATTGAAAGAACACCAGGCCCAGTGTGACGCTCCTTGAAGTTCTCGTCAGCGAATTTCTCTCCGTAGATCGACTCGCCTCCAGTGCCATCTCCGTGAGTGAAATCTCCGCCCTAAACACACAAAAATCAATGAAAGTAAAAATATAGAAGCTATACCTGAAGCATGAATTGTGGGATAACGCGATGGAACTTGCAACCCTTGAAGTGAAGTGGCTTTCCGGATTTGCTGGCCAGTCCTTTCTCGCCGGTGCAGAGCGCGCGGAAGTTCTCGGCGGTCCTCGGCACGACGTCATTGTAGAGCTCCATGGTTATGCGGCCGACGGGCTTTCCACCAGCAGCAATGTCGAAGAAAACTTGAGGGCGACCCATAATGATTCGGTATCTGAAAATTAAGAAAAATTAGCTTCGATGGGCGGATTTAAACGAGAACTTGGGTGGATTTAAAAACGAAATTGTAGAGTTAATTGCGGGCGGACACCAAAAACGGGGAAAGTGGAGACGAAAATGACAAAATAAAATTTTTCCGGAGCTTCACCTAAACTTACAGTAATCAAAAAGATATTCAGTTTTTCAATTCAATATTTTGACGCATTAATATTTACTTAAGCTCTTTCCTTTGCACTTGCTCATTCGGGAGTGGGACAAATGCGACCTTTTTTTTGCGCACCCGGACATTTGCGCACCTTTTTTTCCGCACCTTGCCCATTAGCGCACCTTTTTTCGCGTTTTAAAAAAAGCTCTAAAAAGCTAATATTAACCAATTTCTATTCCAAATGTTGTTTTTCTAGGTAATTTGAGGGTGTCGAATTCAAATTTTGACATAACAGAGCGTGTGGAACGAATTTGAAAGACAAAACGACTAGATCAAATTACAGAAAATTGTTGATTTTTCTCTTTGTATAACTCCGTCCGTTTGTTTGACGTTTGACTTTTTGAAAAAGCTTTCTCCTTTTTTGAATTGCTAAGTTACGTTAGCCATTGAAATTTGAGAAAAAAAAAGAAGCACAACAAAAGCTTTAAAATTAAATTAAATTAATTGAATTTCTAGTTGCTTTACCAGTTTTTTTTGTGCTTTGTTTTAGTAGCAGGTGAAAATTATCGAGATTTTGTTTTTTTCGGATGGACACTCCTCAGAAGAATGGACCGCCACCCAAGGATATCGTCTGCCAGCTCGCCCACTCGACCATTTTTCAGTACCGCGGAGTAAGTGATTTTACGTTTATTTCCAAATTATAGTATTTTACGATAGTTAATCCGTTTTTCTTTTAGCTCATCGTGTCCGAGACCGTCACGAATGGAGAAAAGGCCATCGTTTTCGACGAGTTGGTATGATGTATTTTGTCACGTTCTATCTTTTCCTTTTGAGGGCACCGACAGTGTGACAATGTACGGAGTGATCGAGAAGGATACTGCGTACGACTACTGTATTGCGGCTGTGAATAAGCTAACGGGGGAAGTAAGTTTTTTGTCAGATAGCGATATGATGTGTTTGAGATTGAATATCGACCCGCAGAGGTGTACAACGTCTCCGCGCGACATCGTGATTTGTTGCAGCTGGAGACTAGTCGAAGGTAAATTGTTTGTCGAGTCGATTTCAATTTTTCATTGGTTCAAAATCTTTTAGAGATTCGATTTTGAAGTCCACAGATGATCAATGGACCCCAAAAGCAGAGGATCGAAAGCGCAAGCGTCTTTCAATTACGACAACTTTTGGTGATTCTAAGAAGATGAAAGGCATGGACAAGGTTGAGAAAAAAGAACTAAACGAGGTAGGTTTTGTTAGTTTTTAGTTTTTTCATCTCTTTATTCTAGGAAGCAGCCGCTCAAATGAACAGCACACTGGTGTTGAATAGTCCGTCGGAGATGAACAAATCTATGGGTATTGACGAAATTACAGCCATAAAAACTGAGGTAAGCTAGCGCGTCTTTGTTAATTTTTGTTTTTATTTTAGGAAGTCTCAAGCGTTTTGCCTAAAGCAAACATGGAGGCAATCTTAGGACGTGATGTGTATTCACTTTCCCTGTTTGTTACTGACGCAGATGTCGGTTACATTTAATTCGTTTTATTGAATATTTTTAGATCGAAACTTTTGGAGAGACTTGTATCGCCGTCATGTCAAAGAAGTACAAAGATTTTGAGTACCCTTTTGGAGGGTCAACAAGAAATGGTTAAAGTTTTTTTGTAACTTGTGCAAAGTTAAATTTCAGATTTCCCACTGATGTATAAAGATTATCTAGAAGGACGAATCAAAGACCGAAAACAGTGTATTCTTTATTGTCTTTGTGCAGCGATGGGCTATGTGATACAGGTAGCTAGGTAAAATAGCCTGCTTGGATATTAAAAGTATAATTTAGATTGGTAAAAGAACCACAAAAATAACAAGCAATACGACAAAGAACAGCCCTTTTCCTATGATCATAATTGAGTGGGTTCAGCGGAAATATTTTGGTGGGCTTCAATTATCTAATTTGCTTCAACGCAATTTTTAGACAGTCAACCAACCATCGAGCGAAATGTCCGGGTACAACAGATCAACAGAAGTGAACTTGATCGTTTAGTTGTACATGCGTTGGCATTCGGCATGACAATCGGTAAGAAATCCTTTTTTGCATTGCATTCTCTTGTAGATCCCGATAATCGTATTTATCATGTTGAATGGGCGAATTACACACGGATTGCGGCAAATCAACTGGAAAAGTTTGCGACTGCGCTGGGTGCACAAAAAGAATCATTACCAGAAAGTATGAAGCAGCTGAGAGGGTGAGTTCATGATTTGAAAGTGTAAAATTGGGTTTTTAGGATGTATGCAATGGTATTGAAGGGACCACCCCAACCCCAATTCAGGAGAGGAGCCGGTCGAAGCCGTCGCGGGAAAAAGTGAATTTAAGGCCTTAATTCTTGAAATACTGGTGTTTTGTTTAATTTCTTGTTTGTTATAATTTTTTAGTTTGTTAAGTTTTTATTGTTGTACCGTATAAATTTTGAGATAGAATTGAGTATTTCGTTATGACGTCGGAACGTATTGAATACAATGAAAATGAGATATGATTTATTGACAAATGAATTTTTAGACAAGAATAATCTTTGGGCTGAAAACTTATTAACAGCATGGATTTTTTGAACGAGGTTTCCTCTTTTTGCTTAAAGGATTTATGCTTTTGTTTTTAGGACGATACTCGCTCGATTGCTTCTTCGAAAAACACTCGTTTAATTGGTAGAGGCACTAATGCGGGGAAATGTAAAATCAATCGTAATTTAAACATTCCTTAAAACTAATATAAAATTTTAGTAATGGGTAGTCCTTTAAAACTTAAGCCTGCATCTCAAGAAGGTGAACTGAACGAACGTGAGTTCCTTTTTTCTATGTAGCACAGCACAATTTTAGTACGTGTAGTGTAAAACCATTAGCACCGGTTCAATTCTACTAATATTAATATTAATTTAGTTGTATCGGCTAAAAATGCGCAATCTGAACTGTTAGCAGTACAAATTGCCCAACTAATCGATGAACTGGAAGCAAGCAGCACTTCAAACGGTTCTCAAAAGATTGTTCAGCCAAGAGCAGGTTTCTTGTATCGTCTTATCAGAATTTATAAAGCTACTGTACACAATTTAAGCATTAAACTTTAGGCAAAAGAAAGCACTCTCCATCTCATGACAACAAGCATAAACGCACTCGAAAGAATCGAGTGCCAGAAACACCAGACGAAAAGCTGAAGTTATTTTTACTTCAAATTTTCCCAGCACAAAACATGTATAGGCGATTGCGTAGAAGTTGCGATGATGAAGAGGTGATTGAGGGTACACCACCCGGCAAAATGAATCGTGGAAGAAACGGAAGAGTTGAGCAAAGGTTTGCTTTTTTTTGTTTAGCATTAAAACTCGATAAAACTTTACGATGAAATAAATTTTATACTATCGGAACTCGTCAAACGAAGCGAACAACTCGAAGCCGAAAGGATGAGCACGGCAATTTCAGTTAAGAAAGCAAGCCGGTTATTGGTGTTCTAGTTCGTTTTTCGAATTACCTGCGATATTTGACCTTAGAAAATTGTTTATATATTTTCGTTTTGTTGTTATAAGTTTATAAGTTACGTACGTATTTTGTTGTTGCAGGGGCAACCTCTATTTGTAAATAAACGTCTTTGTTTTTTTTTGTTTATTTAGAAGGGAAACATTGGTTGACCCAATTTTTGCCTTTAGTCGATTGTTCGGTTCGACATTTTGACTGGGCGTTTTGCCAGGCGAGTACAGCGTCTCCCTCTTTCTCTTTATTTTCTCACGCTTCTTTTTGGGTGGGGGCTGGTCTTGGCGATAATTCGGCGTCGAGAATCTCTCGCTTATCTATGCTCTCTCTAGTAGCAATAGAGAATGTTTGTTCCTTTTGCCCCTTTACTCGACTGGAACGCTCATTTTTGTGGTCATTTTGTCTCATTTTTGACAGAAATTTCTTTGGGATATTGCTAATTTTTGGCAAAAAGAAGTGTTACTTGTTTTTTTTTCTGAAAATTTAACTTTATTTTGTTTTCGAGAATTTGTTGCGAAACAAAATTCCCTATACCGACGCCATAATCAATCAATACCATGGCATTGATTTTTTGATTTAAAGTCAAACTTTTGCTAAGGTTCAAAATAGTACATGTGCTTTTGCTATTTTCAAAACCATTCTTTAGTGTACAAAAGCCAAGCCTTTATAACACTTTTTGTTCAGTGAATGGTACGCCGTGGTGCGTCATCGGGTGGCGAAGAAACCCTGAAACAACCATCGAATCAGGGAAGCCGATCACTTCGACCACGATTTGACATTGAGATAGAGGACGGTGAGTTGTTAAACTGTTTTGATCATTAATATCCACGATTCGATAAGGATAAGGCAAATAGAATTTGTTCTGGTTTTCAAAATTAATCGAAAAATATGTAGGAATAGCTACATGGATTCCATTTTAGGTTTCCACTAGCATACTATTTGAGCCATAATACGCTTAAATGCTTGTGAGACCTTAAAATTATTGTTATGTATGGAAACTTTTCAATCACTTACAATTCAGGTGTTTCGCGAAGAGAACTCGAGCACGCTCTTCGACTTTCTTTGGAAGAATCGCGAAAGAACGAAGATAAGAAGGTATCTTATTTTGTTTTATCCCTTACAGTTTTTGAATATAAAATTTTTGTTGTGTTCTTATCACGGATTTAATTACAGCCCAAGAAGAAAGAAGCGGCAAAGAAAGAAAAAGAAGTTCACGCTACACCCACAAAGAAAGCACCAGCCAAGCGACCGCCTCCCCCTGAGAAAAGTTTGATTTCAAAAAATATTCTTACGAAAGAGTGATTCAGAGGAAGCTCCTGCTGCAAAGGCACCACGAAAGGAAACAAAGAAGGCCGAGGCTAAGAAAGATAGCAGCAAAAAGAAGGTTTGAAATTGTGAACGTGGCAATATTAAACTCTAAATGAGAATGAACAATAGATGACTACTAAGTTTGCACTTTAGTGTAAATGAATCGGCTAATTTTAGACAAGTTTTAATCAGTGTTTAATTTTTCGTTGCAGGTAGAACCCGAGGAAAGCGAGGGTACAGAAGAAGAAACCCCGAAAGAGGCGAAGGGCAAAAAATCAGCAGCCCCCTCGAAAAACGCAAAGGTTGCCAACGAGAGGAAGACTACGGCAGGCAAGGAGCCCTCTGAGGCACTTTTTTTCAACGATGCACTATTATTCTTCCAAACACCAAGACTTCTGTCGCACTCGGCTTGTTAACACGTTAGCGCCACTATTACATTTGCTGTTTGATTTTTTCTGAAAAGCGCATTAACATTTTTTAGTGTAATTGGATTTCCCAAAAGATTTAGTGTTTGCAGTCATTAAAAATTACTCATACAACGGTTTCCTCACGTGTTAACATGCTCCGCTGAACTGTAACTTTGATACTTAAACAAACAATGTAGACTCATTTTAGAAGGCAAAAAAGGCCGCGGCGGCCGCAAAGCAGCGGGGGAGAGTAAATTTTTAACTGGTGCTTCCGATCTTGTAACGCTACTTGCTACTGCCACTGAGGTAAGCTAAATTACAAATATTCGATAAAGTATTTGTTTTAATAAAGCTTATATTTCGTAAAGTATTTTTGAATCTTGCAGAAGCTTGATGCTCTATGTAAATGTCTTGATGATTAAAGTACTTACGAGGATGCTCACGAGAATCTAGGGGCTCACTGAGCTCACTAGTAGTAACTGCAAAACTAAAATTTCCATATAATATCATCACAAGTGCCAAATGCAGTAGTTTTTGAATTTTCTTTTAAAAAGGTCTTCCAGTGTTTATTTTGTAACATTTAAATTTGCTAGCATTCCTTTGCCAATGCTTTATTTTAGATCCTCGGACCTCAGTGTGACACCGCCTGATCATCAAATCTTCTCCCAAATATCTATTCAAGAACGATACTCTTATTCTCCCGTCTCTTTCAATATTTTTATTTGCCGTTTTTCTGCAAACTCATCAAACAATGAAGTTTCTCTTATTGTGTCTGGGATACACGATATCTCTCCTCATTTTTCAAGCCGGGTGGGTTTATGGTTATTAACTTTTTCAAATGTTCATTTTTTATTTACAAAATTGCCCAATTTTGAAAGTGCATTTACTTATCTGTTGTTCGCTTGCTAAAATAAACTCTAGTTCGCAAATTACTTAAATAACAGAACGAAATTAAAGAAACAAAGTAGTCATTGAATGCAGCTAAACGAAAAAGTCTAACAAATAAGCGCAAAAAAAGTTCTTGGTCGCATTTAAAACGAATTTTTAACTTTCAACTTATCAAGATCTCGTTTAGGTTTTTGCTCAAACGTAAAGAAATACACATTCGTTCAACTTGCCGAGATGCGCCGACCGGAAGCAACAACTGCTGGATGAAGCCACAATACAACAAGGTACCAATTGCTGGTTATAATCAGTTAGGTATAGCGATGTGAAGTGAGGAAGAATTCAGGTAAAGGGTGCATTTGCGTCCGGTAGTTATTGGGGGATAACTTTTCTCTCTAACTTTTTAGATATTTACTAAGTAAAACGTTCCCTAAACACTTCCTAATGTACACATTTGATTTGTATTCTTGGACTACTTCGCTTATAATTATCGTAATCGTATAGGGACTTTGTTTTTTAAATTTTCAATCATATTTCTTTTCTAGGTGATCCTTATGATCGTTGATGCTCTTCGTCACGACTTTATTTTGCCGCAAAGCGACACAAACATCGCACCTTATCTAAACCAGGTACGTACGTTGTTTGATCTTTTGATGTTGTGAGAAGAGCTGTCTGCTAAACGAATAAAAATATAGAATAATTCAATAATACAATTCTTAACAAAAATGGTTTAGATGAAATTTGCCGCCTCATTAGCGAACTCGTCGATTCTTTCATCGATCATTGCCGATCCACCCACAACCACTCTGCAAAGATTAAAAGTACGGTTTATAAAAAGTCTTTCACTTTTCTAATTGCAGGGAATCACGACTGGAACTCTTCCCACTTTCATTGATGTCTCTGATAATTTCTCCCCGAATGCCAATGTAAGCTTACTTGCTGTAAAGCTAGACCAATTTTTTTGCTCAGATCAACGAGGACAACATTATCGATCAACTGATTTCAAAGGGTCTAAATGCAACGCTGATTGGTGATGATACTTGGGTAATTTGAAAATTTACAGCTTCCAAATGTATTAATTTAGGTGTCACTATATCCAGATCGTTTCCATCGTTCTTACCCGATGTCATCGTTTGATGTTCACGATCTACACGGAGTCGACGATGGTATTTTGAGTTGGTGAGGTCATTTTGTATCATTACTGATTTTATCTTTAGAAGTGCTACCAGAAGAGCTTGCAAGAACGGACACACAATTTTTGATTCTTCACTTTCTTGGCGTTGATCATTGTGGGCATCGTTATGGACCTGATCACCCGGAAATGGCAAAGAAGGTATGTTTCAAAATGGGCGGATGTAAAACGTCAAACAAAGGGTTTAAGAAAGACATGTAAATTCTCCCAACTTTGTTTTTACGACTTGTTTAAGAAAAACATCACGACATCTTGCAAGTTAAAAATATGCGAAGATATGACGAAAATTGCACCCATTCAGAACTTTAAGCGTGCCAACTCTGATTAGCTATTTCAATGTCACAAGCTTGCGAACAATAAAAAATCTTTATTGATTTGACTCATCATCATCGTCACTGGGTAGGGTGAAGAGCACTCGGGGTTCGGTGTGGCGATGAGTCGTCTGTGACGCTTCCACATCGAAATCCATCATTCCGTTGTGTTTCATTTCGCAATACGCCCGCTCTTCTTGTCGAATGTGGTGCTCTTGTAAATGTTCCTCTTCGATACTGTGAAAGGTGGATGAGGTGGAGATTTTGCGAAACTTTTTCGGCAAATGCAGTGAGAGAGGTCTCTAAATTTAGAGGGATGATCGATATCTTGAATGAATAGAAGTGATATTGGTGCTATTTTAACCAACGGAACAAAAAACAGTGAGAGAGCTTTAAAGTTGCATTTTGCAATATACTCACAGTAAGGTTTCGGGGCACTTCAGTTGAGGGACTCCAATCTGGATCACTTGAACTTCCTTCACCAAATCCTTGATCAACATCACCTAGAATATTGTCTTCTGTTAAGAATCATTTTCCATTCTTACAATTATTCATTGCCAAGGCCTTCTTTGCCAATTCCAAGTCGTCTTCCTCGCAAACATGGTTACTTATGTGTTGTGCACACAAGGGGTGAATTCTTCGTTCTTTTTCTCTCCTTTGCAATGGATCCACTTGTGTTTGTCGTGGTTTGCAAAGATCGTGTCTAAAAAGGTTTATGAGATATCTATTTTTGAGTTGAACGATTTGAAATTCATTTGATGGTATTTTGCAAGCAACTTACCTGACCATCAATGGAATGATTCCCTCTTTGCGCCGACTACGGTAACAGCATCCTGAAGCATTGAATGAATTGTCTGGTTTTCATTTTTGTTTAAAATTTAAGAGTGCAAAAATAGTCAATACAAAAAAATATTGGTACCTGCGCGAGGGGTCGAGTCGGTGCGCATTCTTGATCCGATTGAGATTTTTGAATGTCTTCTCCAATGTGATTTGCTTTGGGATTACCTTGAGGAAATCCGACTAATCCAGCAAACACTCTAAGATCATTACAGATAACAAAATTTGTTTTAAGAAACAAAGCTATAGAGAGATGAGATTCGATGAAATTTTTCTCAATGGATTTACAAAGAAATTTTCATGCAAATCATAGAGATCGAGCAAAAAAGAATCAAAATCGAAAAATCTTTCCCGAATTCGATTTTTGAGGTGATCAAAAAGTTTTGTGAACGCGATGGGGTGTTATAAAAAAGGGGTGAAAAGTGAAAGATAGGCGGAGGGGGAAAGAATCGGTTTGATCATGTCCAAACCGCCCCCTTTTCTCCAGCAAAAGAACATCGTGCAGCTTTTTTGAGCAATTCGGGCGTCCATTTTTTTTCGTTGTTGACATAGGCATGAGCTGGCCGCCATCGCCACACACGGAATGGATCCTCTTCCTTTCCTTTTGCATCTCATGAGACGGCGAGAGACACTCCTCTATAACCACTCGAACCGAATATTCCCGGAAAAGGCGCATGTGGGAGCTTGTGATTGGAATTTTGACACGTTACGCGTTTATGCTTCAAAGCTAGGGTCAACAAAAGCATCGTTTTTTCAATGACGTGACTCATGAGTATGAACATAAAGGTTAGGTGTTTGATCAGGAGGAACGTGAGGAATGAGTATGAAGCAAGGGCTTTTGTTTTCTAAAATAAATGACGGCAAAATTTTATTCGCATATTTCAAAATAAGTCTAATAAATTTCCAATGGGGAAGTAAGGATTTCAACTTTAGAGCAAGTCTATCACTGCATAATATACCTACAAATTTAGCTCCGTCAAATGGACACTACGATCGAGTACATTGTAAAACGAATGCGACAGGATGAATTGTTGGTGGTGATGGGCGATCACGGAATGACAACAACGGGAGATCACGGGGGCGAGGCTTTTGCCGAAATCACCGCCGGATTATTGGTGAGATGTGTTTTTGTTTTTTTGTGTGGAAGTAATGAAACGTGGCAATTAAATGTTTTCGAATGAGGTTCGCGATATTTGCTGTCATTATTGACTTTGCTGTCCGGTGTTATGTTTCATGTAAAATGACGGGGAGGATGGTTGATGAAATTGACCGGCAATTTCAATAAAATTTCAATAAAAAAATTAAGTTGTTTATTGATAGCTTTATCGGAAAATTTTGTAGAATACTTTTTAGATTCACTCACCGTCGACAGCCTTTCAAACTCCAACTCTTCCACCCCGTCAAATCGATCTTCTTCCATCACTCTCACTTCTCCTCGGCCTCCCGATTCCATTCTCAAATCTCGGCAATGTAATTCCTGAGCTTTTCCCCGTGGAGCTTCAAAGGAAACTTGCTGTACAACTAAATTACGAACAAGTTATCAGGTTTTTGGTTTTTTAGTTGTAAAATTTATCTCTTTTTTAGATTTGCTCGAACTTACTCCTCATCAAACGCTCTTTCGTTGAGTGAGTTCTCACTTTTCGATGACAGGGATCTAGATGAGAATGATCAATTGAAGGTAAACTTTCATTTTTGGATACAAGAAGATCATTTCTAGACACTTCAAAGAATTCAACAAGCTCTGCGTGCTGCTTGGACTCAATTTGACACAACGATCATCATCGTCGGACTCGTTTCAATAGCGGAGTGCATTCTCTACAACTTGAGGTAGTAAACTTGTTTTCTTTTTCTAAGTATTCTTTTTAGTGATGAGCCGAGTTCTTTTACCCAATGGATTGTACGCAGCGGGCTGCTTTTGCTACAATTTAGCGCTTTTTTTGGAGGTCCGCTTTCAAGAATATCTGTACACCAATCTTGCTATCATACTTTTAAATAGTTACATCAACAAATCCAAAGTTTAGGTAGCGAAAACCCATCGGTACCACTGTTGCTGGGCACTCTTGTGATTCTATCAATCTTTCATCTGTTACGAATTATCAAACTTGCCACCCTTATTAGGAGTCGTTCAAAAATGGTAAAATTTTATTGTTGAACTTGCCAAGACCACGATTTAGATGACAAATCTGCTGTTCACGATTCTGCCGTGCCTATGCTTTTTCTCAAATTCGTTCATCGTGCGCGAAACTGATGTCCTCCGATTTTTCCTTCAAACACTCGTTATTCTATCGCTTGCCATAAAAACTAGCAGGTTTGCAAAATTTTTCATTTGTTATTTTTAATTTTCATAGTTGGAAGAAAAAGCTTGGTGGTGGCAAGATGAACGTCAAAATTCTACGTCAGCTCGTTTTCTCTGACGAGGCATTGGTATTTTGATCTTTAATGGTTTTTATTTATTGCTTTTCAGATTCCAATTTTAATGATTGCACTTCTACGACTTGCACCATTTTTTCATCGCTGCCGAGAAGAGGAAATAAACTGTGTTCAATACTTTCCAACGATCCTTTCAGCTTCACTTCCAGGTTCGGTCAAGAACTTTTAAGAACGAACAAGGTTTTTAAAATCAAAGTTGGTGCTTATAGTTGGATAAAAAGCCCCAATTAAAACGAACTACCATTACAAGCTCTAAACTTGTTCATTTTCACATTTCAGGAGACATTCGTGTCATGCGTCTACTGTTAAGCATTTTCTCTTCATCAACCCTCTCCTATCTGATCGGACAACGAGCACACTGGTTATTGGGAAACTTTTTTGGCGATACAATATGTGGGTTTTTACCTTTTACTGAGCTTTTTGCTGAACTTTTTACGGACGAAAAATTCGGATCCAAACTTTATTTTACACAAGTAAGCAATTGCGCTTAAATTGAATACAAACAGCGACAAAGAAAATATGAACAAAGGCGGGGGCTGAAAGCCCAAATTCTTGAGTGAACAAAGGAAAAAAGGAGGGCAAAACGGGTGATTGGGATTCTTTGTTCACATCTGCACGACGGATGGTGGTTGAGATGGATCGGCGGTTGGTGATGGCTGAGATGGTTCGGCGGACTGAGCGGTTGGGACGGCTGGTGGTGGCTTGTCGTTTGATGATGACGAGGTGGAGTTGCCCTGGCTGTTCTTCGAGTTCCTCTTCTTTTTACCCTTCGATCTAAAAAAAATGATCAATGCAAAATATGCAAAATGTGTACGACTAAAATAGCTCACACTTCAACATAACTATCACCAAGGTTTTAATGCAGAGAAAAAAAATCATAAACCCTTCCCTCTTCCCGCTGCTGTTTCGAATCTTCCTCGGCGGCTCCTTGATATGTTTCTTTTTCTTTTTCGTCTCTGTTGCCTGGCTCTCGTTCGCTGGGCCTAAACATTAAATATCAAATATTAGGAATGACCCCCACTTTTCTTGACTTCGTTGTTGCTTTCGGTGGGCAGTGGCGGAATAACGGTGTCGAATTGCGATATTGTCACAGCGTTGCCGGTTGACATCGACGAGATGGGAAGGCTCAATTGAATTGGAGCCGTTGTCGACAAGGAATCGGTCGTCGTTGTAGTTTGCGTGGGTAGCCCTGTGCTCTCTGAAAAGGAACATTATAATTCAAGGGTTCATAAAACGGTTAAACTAGATAACTAAGGTTACTTGAAGCATGTGATGTCGACGATTTTGCTTCGACAATCGGTAGAGAGGCGTCTTGTGCGGCAGTTGATGTAGTTGGAGACGTCGGCTTTGAGGAGGCGAGGCGCTCAGCGCCGAGACGAGCGGCATTCTAAAAAAAAGACTTTGTAATGAATGAGCGAAATGGTTAACTCATCACCAAAATGTTTAATCTAGTTTGCAAGATTGAAAGACTTTATTTTTTTATTAAATTAAAATATCCAAACTGCTACCTTGCTCCTGGATTGGATCTCATGCGTCGAGTTGAGATCGGCCCCATCGTCGTGTTTTTTCGGTGCCGGCGTCATGCCCATCGAAGCAATGGTGCCGTGATGTGTTGGTGGTGGATGGATTACAACACCCTAGAAAGAAAAGAAGATCAATCAAGCCAAAAGTTCTAAAATTTACACTTATGATTGGCTGAGCGGTGTTTGTAGAAGTGGAAGGCCCGGCATTGTTGCTACAGACTCCGAGCGCTGTGTTCACACTCTCGGTTGACTTGGACGCCTTTTTCGGTGACTTCTCGGGGGCTGCTTGCTAAAATTTACATAAAGATAGCTTTACTAGATGTTTACTAGTGTCTAAAAATCAAACGACCGCAATGCCTGTGTAGAGTGGCTACTCCATTAAAATAACACGTTCATATAACGTTTACGGTAACAAACCAAAACAAACTCAAAAATCCCAACCTGCTTGAGCTTGATGTAGATGAAGGCGGCAATGGCCACCACAGCCAGCACGACGATTAGTAGCATCCGAAGAATATGCGTAGCAAATATGATGAACTCCTCCCTCTAGACTTCCTTATAAATGACCTTTAAATGTAAATTTTGGTTCTTCAAATGTAAATTTTGTGATTGATAAATTCAAATTTTAGCCATCAACAGAGCGGAGACTGCATCGGCGACTCGTTTGACGCAGGCTTTTGTTTCGCTCGAACTGTTTGCTGTTTATTTCAATTGGGCTCTCGATCTCACGCAACACAACGATGATAATGTGTGAGTGCTTTTCAAACAATAAGTGAATTTTTTGGCGTTGTTTAGTTTTGATAAACAAGCACTGGTGTAAAACATTCACCTTTCTTTAGGAAATTCGCATTGCTGGTGACGAGTTGGGTGGTTTATGGAATCTTCGGCCTTGTTCTTCTCATCAATATCTTTACGAAAGCTTCCGCCACAAATGAGACAAGGTGAGGTAGTTTAAATATTCGACTAGCCAGTACAATTGTTGAAGAAAACTCTTTATTGGGATTTTTTTATGGAAGTTCGAATTATGGGGTTCTTTCAGTATCGAAACCTTTAGTAAATGTTTCATTTTTAGTGCTCTTGGTCTCAACTTGAACATACTCCACTCGCTGATTCCCGTGCTTTTGCTGCTGTTGGGTGATGGGATGGCGCCTGGAGTGGCGATTTTTACCTTTTTGACCCTTCGACTTCCCACTGTTGTACATCATGGTAAATTTAGTCATTTAAACCAAATTTCATTTATTTAGAGCTTTTGCAAGCTGCTGACACATTGCTTTTGGCCCTTGGCTTTTACTTCTTGGGACATTCACCGACTTTGACTGCTATTCCATGGTAATTTTTTAGGTTTTATTAAATAGATTGTTAAGTTGTCGTTAATTTTTATCAATTAATGCATTTTCTGATTGAAAATTGATTTTAGGACAGCCGCTTTTGTGGGAATTTCCGGAGCATGGGGTTGGAGAATTTTACCAGCATTGCTTATTCTCTCTCACTTGTATGCATCAACTCTACTTGTTTGTGCAAGGCTTCTAATTCAGGTAAAAGCTTAACTTGCCTTGTAAAAATATATTTTTAGCTTATTAAGTTAACTCAATCATCTAATTTTAGCAACCGGTAAACACTTCGTTATTGATCGCCACCGTTGCCGTTCGAGCATTGGCTTCTTCGGCAGCTTGCGCCATTTTACGAAGACATTTAATGGTCAGCTTTTCGCTACTTACAATTTGATAAAATTGACTGCAATAACAAATAAGAATTTGTAAAAGAAAGCTAAAGATTAATATAAATTCTCTATCTTCTGTATTTTTAACATCACTTTCAGTATAACTTTGGAACCAAAAATAATTCTTTAAACAACTTAACTATTCTAATAGCTTTTTATTCAGGTTTGGAAGATCTTTGCGCCTCGTTTCATCTTCGAATCGATCGGCTTCCTCGTGCTTCTCGGCGTGGTTTCAATCTTCAGCTTTTTAAGGAGACGCTTCATTGTTTGAGTTTAAATCACCTAATACTTATGGTACTATCATTTTCTCTTATCCAGGTTACTGTATCGTTATCCATTTACCTTTTTCCCCATTGCTCGTCCTTGTAACATTCCCAGAAATTCTTGTTTTTATCTAACATTACTGCTGTGCCTTTTTCTCCTCTCTCGAATTGCCAAATGTATATCTTGTATCTTTCTATGTTTTATCATATCTTGTTTTCTCGGAAGGAAATATTTACAGCTACCCATCAAGACGCACGGAAACACAAAAAAAACAATAAAAATCACAAGGAGATCTCGAGAGTTTTTGCAATACTTGTAATGGTTTGCATGAAAAATTTACAATTCACATTTTGATTTCAAAATTTGATAAAGAAATTGTGGAGAATCACTGTGTTTTACCCAAATTTTCGTTTTGCCTATACAAATTCGTAATTCTTTTCAGCATTTCAATATTCGTTGATTGGCGTTGAGATTGGCAGGTCGGGCTTTGTGGGAACGGCCGTGAAACCCGTCGAACGACGATCGAAAAGGCGGAAAAACTGAAATTTTGGAGTAAATAAAGTTTATATTTTGACGGAGTTCTCGAGGTTCAATTTTAACATTTCTACAACGAACCTATTACTTGGAAGCAAAAAGTGTGATCAGTCCCAACTTTTCAGCTTAATCCCACCCGATTCCCTAGCAGTTCGGAGTCATTTGGGCGGAACAAGAACTGTTCACATCCCCTGCCTTGACCACTCCGACTCACTCGTCAATCCGCCAAAGAATCGCGGAACAGTCAGCGAATGGATTACGTTATCGTCATCTCACAAGTAATCCCAACCCTTTCGGCAAGACCCTTTTTATGACCCCCTCTCCGGTCGTGTGCCAAAAAGCGCGCGTTTATGAGCGCGCACAAAGAACGCCCCTTGTTGATTCTTGCTGCCCGCTTTTTTTCAGTTTTTTTACGATTTTTTCGAAAACTTTAATACAATTTTTTTTTGTGAATTTATAATTTATTAGTATTAGAGCTAAAATTTAAGCAAAATCTTTCATTTAGATGAATTTTTGACCTTAAATCACTTATTCTAAGCCGGTCGAAAATTTCGAGGATTTTTGACTTTTTTTAGGAAATTTTTTCATTCAAAAATTTTCAAATTTACTTAAAATTGTAAATAGATTTAAATCTAGATTTTGTAAGGATAAACCGTGCTTTTTCTGTGCTTTTTCTTGTGCTTTTCTTGTGCTTTTCTTGTACATTCCATTTCGCAGCACTCACCCTGTGCCTTTCCGGTGTAAAGGCGGTGGCTTTCGTGAGCACGACGCCGCTGTCTTGCTCGGTCGATTTCGGACAACACGCACCGAATGTCAACAGGAATTCCCTGGAATTTCATTTTAAGCACAGGAACAACAGGAACAACAGGAATTCCCTGGAATTATCTAGAATGGTTATGGTTTCAAGTGAATCACGATTTTTGCTATGTGCAGTTTTATTGGATTTCCTGACGCCTAATTTTAAGCGATTTTTGATCGCTAAGGTTGACAAGAAAGTCTTTTTTGCTTCACCAAAATTCCACAACAAAAGCAGCTATCAGACTTTTGTATGTTTAAAATTAAAGATCAATATCTTAAGCTAAAAACAGCGCCACAACTTTTTATTCGCCTTCGTTTGGATACACAGCGCGTGCAAAGAACACTAGCCACTAGTGGCTAGTGTTCTTAGAAAAAGTGAAAGGAAAATCCAAAGTGGGGATCGAACCTATGAGGTCACGCTCCGGAAACGAATGCCGTACCGTTCGGCCACGGCTACACCGAACGCAAGAACTGAACCGAACGGCTGCACAGCAAGAAGGCCGTTAAGAGCACATCTTCAGAGTCTTAACAAAACTTTCGACGCTTATAACTCCTTGCAGAGTCATTTAGCGAAAACGGAACTGATATTCGGAATCAGTATAAAATTCTGCGTCTAATAGGATAGGTCGCATAGCATTTGACCGGCCCAGCGAGCCAACCAGCCAGTCAGCCAGCTAGCCAGCCAGCCAGCCAGCCAGCCAGCCAGCCAACCAGTCAGCCAGCCAGCCAGCCAGCCAACCAGTCAGCCAGCCAGCCAGCCAGCCAACCAGTCAGCCAGCCAGCCAGCCAGCCAGCCAGTCAGCCAGCCAGCCAACCAGCCAGTCAGCCAGCCAGCCAGCCAGCCAGCCAGTCAGCCAGCCAGCCAACCAGTCAGCCAACCAGTCAGCCAGCCAGCCAGCCAGCCAACCAGTCAGCCAGCCAACCAGCCAACCAGCCAGCCAACCAGCCAGCCAACCAGCCAGCCAGCCAGCCAGCCAACCAGCCAGCCAACCAGCCAGCCAACCAGCCAGCCAACCAGCCAGCCAACCAGCCAGCCAACCAGCCAGCCAACCAGCCAGCCAACCAGCCAGCCAAGCCAAGCCAAGTTCACCTTCCCTTGTAAGTCTTGCACCCTTGAACCTTATCTAAACCATTATCTAAATGAACGAGTCTTAAACTACGAAATATCAAACGATTTCTTTCATTATCTTTGATTGTTGATGTAACTTTTTGAGCACTATCTTTTTCTTTTCACATCAAAATAGGTTTGTTTAGAAGAAATGATCAAAATGGCATCATCGGTTGTCGCTTTTAAACACTCAGCTTCTTGCTAATGAAAAATCTTGAAAGAAAAGCTTTTCAGAAACTTTTAAAAAGTCATTTGCAAAAGAGAAATGATTTGGGTATCTAATAAACAAGAAAAAACCCGTATTTCATTTGATAGCTTGAGATTTATTCTATTAGAAAATGAATTTCGGTGAAGGCTTTAGTGTTTAGCGTAATTTGCTGCTATTTCTCACCTCCTGAACACGTGGCTCATCAAAGCGTAGAGGACAAAATTCACTGAAGAATTGATTAGTGAAAGTAAATCGAATGTGTTCCCCAAAATCCCGGAAAGACCCTGCAGACGGGGATTGAAACCTGAAGCTTTTCTTTGGTTATTTTATTATCAAATCATCTCATTATTTTATTTAGCCTAACTTCTTTAACGTTCTTTAACTTAACAGCTTTCAATGTTTTTCACTCACCAGCAGCAAGCCCTAACAATCCCTGTGGAGCCTCGGTGACAAGGAAAACGGCAACGATTCCCGTCAACATTGTCGTTGTGCGTTCAGCCTGGAATTTGGAATTTGGAATTGGAAGCTTCAGCCAGCTCTTGTGCCAGCTTCAGCTAGCTCTTGTGCCAGCTTCAGCCAGCTCTTGTGCCAGCTTCAGCCAGCTCTTGTGCCAGCTTCAGCCAGCTCTTGTGCCAGCTTCAGCCACTTTTCGATCCACTAGAGTCTAGTTTTAATACAAGCAAGAGAAGTCGTAGAGCTGAACATGGAAATTTGGTCATGGAGTTAGTCATGGAGTCATGGAGCTAGTTTTGAGTTAACAATGTTGCACAGAAGTAGGGATGATCCAGCCAAGTCAGCTTGAACTCTGGCTCTGACAGTCCAGAAGTAATGCTAGGCCAGGCCAAATCAGAAGCCATGATCTGGTTTTCTGCGGGCAAGCCGGTCCAGGCCGATCTTCTAGAGCCGATCTTCTAGAGCCGATCTTCTAGAGCTGATCTTCAAACCCGACTCTGAATCCAGGCCTGGCCAGCCTGGGAAAGTCGCCTTTAAGCCATCAGTCCAATTACCATTAGAGTGTGTTGCTCATGATTAATGCGATTAAGACAAGATTCCGGTAACTTAAAGACAAGTTCACGGTAACCAACTACAAGATCACTTTTTGGAAAGCATTAATTGCATAATCTCTTTTTCGTAAGCCCCCAAAATTGGAGTCGATTTGGTGACTGGTTTTCAGCAATCATTTCCACAATTCTTTCCCTCCAAAAATCCCCGATGCGTAAAAAAGGGGATTCTTTTGAAGAAAAAGGGCGAAAGACAAAGAAAAAGCCTTAAAAATCGCAGTATCCCGAAGAAAGATTAGAAGAAAATGTCAGAATTTTCAATTTTTAACATCCCTTGAACTTCTGCGTGAACGGTTCCAAAGAAAAATTGCCTTACTCGAAAATTTCTCGAAAATTTCCCCCATTCTTTTGCATTTTCTCTTTACTTTTCTTTTGTTTTTATCGTTTTCTTTGTTTCTTTTTCCTTTTCTTTATTTCTTTTCCCATTTTTCGAACTTATTTACTCATTCTGGAGAAAACGCCCACTGAAACACTCGAAATTTCCTTTTCTTTCTTCTTTTTCAACTTTCTAGTCTAATTTTTGAACATTTGGATTGAACAATGAAAACTTTGAATTTTGAAAAAACTAGAGAAAGCTTTGGCTAATGTTTTAACAAAAAAACTGGATACAGAACATAAAGTATTGGGTTGGTGAATTGAAAACTGCCGGCTATTGTCATATGTGACAGTTTGAGCACTTTCTTCAAAAGAAACCCATTTTGGTGTCAATGGAAAAGTTGTAGAGAATCAAAAATTAGGCTTATATCCAAATTTTCAGAACGATTCAAAAACTGGTTTTCAAGAAATGCCAAATTTACGAATTTTCACAAAACTTGCATTTTAGGCGAAACTACTAAGTGTATCTTTTTGGAAATTTGGCTATAAGCCTAATTTTTGATTCTCTACAACTTTTCTATTGACACCAAAATGGGTTTCTTTAGAAGAAAGTGCTCAAACTGGGACATTCCTCCATTTTTGAGTCTCACACTTGTCTCACACACAAACCAAAATCCTACTACGAAAGAGGAATCCGCAAATTGCCTGTAAAATGGGCAGAAGTCGTCAATAATAATGGAAATTATTTGGAATGAATTCATGGTTTTATGTTGAATAAATTTTAGTTCAAAGTCCGGCAGTTTTCAATTCACCAACCCAATAGATTTTTTCTCATTTCAAAGAGAAACACAAAATTTATCCAGTAAAACAATACTTTCAAATAATCAGATAAAAACAAATGATTCGAAAATCTGAATTTTCAAAAAAATGATTTGAAAAATGAAAAATGAAATGAAAAAGAAACGACGACGCGGCGCTCCCATCGACTACCTCCAAATGGCGGCGACGTCAATTGGAGTGCGACGTCGCGATTCAAAAGAAGCAGTCAAAAATTAGCTTTGAAAGTTTTTCGTTTTTCAAAGTCTCGCAGTTTTCAATTCACCAACCCAATACATTTTTTTTCCCCCTAACCTGTGAATTCCCAGACGTGGCTCCACCGCAAAGTCTTGATCGCCTCTCTCGTGCCTCCATCAACATTCTATAACAATCTTTTCATGAATTAAAAACGTTAAATGATTAAGTTTACCATGAGATTTCAATTTAGATTTGTTTTTGAATAATTTCATCGAACTCACCTCACTAATAATGTCATAAAAATGGTGAGTAAAAGGCATGGGATAAGCTTGAGAACGATCGACGCTAGCCAATAATTCACTCGTTCCCAATCACAGTTCCACCAAAGCGGTTTATCGAGCGAATACCTGAAAAATGACATTGAGAAGCTAGTATCTAGTAAACTATAATCGAACTTGTGCTCTTCGGTGTACTTTTTTTGCTTATCTCTAAACACACTCCTTGCATTCTTCTAAACACAAATTCTTCTTTCTCGCAGAAACGGCTTGCTTTCGCGAGAAATTGAAGAATTCAGTGGACCGGAAAGGGTACGTTTACAAATTTCTTAAATTCCATTCAATTGAATAGATTACGCTGCGTTAGACATGGCTTTTGGCAAAAGCAGATGGAATCGGGTTAGCCTGATCGGGCTAACCGATCGGACCTATCAGATCGGATCGAGCTAGCCCGATCAGTTGGATCTATCGGATCGGATCTGGCTAGACCGATCGGTTAAATAGATCGGATCGGATCGAGCTAGCCCGATCGGTTTAACGGATCGAATCGGATTGGATCGAGCTAGCCCGATCGGTTTAACGGATCGGATCGGATCGAGCTAGCCTGATCGGTTTAACGAATCGGATCGGATTGGATCGAGCTAGGCCGATTGCTCGAACGCATCGGATCGAGCTAACCCGATCGGTTAAACAGATCGGTTCAGATCGGGCTAGCCCTATCAGTTGAACGGATCGGATCGGGGTAATCCGATCAGTTGAACGGATCGGATCGGATAGGATCGAGCTAGCCCAATCGGTATAACAAATCGGATCGGTCCTGGTCCGATCCGATAAAGCCGGTCCGATCCGCTCCGATCCGATCCGATCCGCTCCGCTCCGATCCGATCCGATCCGATAACCATGTCTACTGTGCCTAACTGGACTATATCTTGGCTCTATATTAATCAATTGACAATTCTCTTGATAGATTTGAATCCCTTACCCTTTCAACTCTTTGACATCAATGAGTGGATACCAATATGTTGAATATCCTCCTTTACTGCATTCTTTTTGAAAACCAGATGGGAGTGGAAGGACTTCTGGGCCGTCTACCTATAAAAAAGCTAGTTGAAATCATTTTCAGTATACAGTAAGCCGTTTTAAATAAAATCTTTTAAATAAAAACCCGATATCTAAGCATGTTCGGTAATGAGCCGATGACGGCGATGATCATCGCACAAATAATCGCGAATGAAGCCGATGAATACGAGTTGCAATTGGGAAGATTCGATTGGGGAGATTGACCACGGAAAAGCACGAGATATCTAAAGGAATATTGGTGTACCGGGTGACCAAGAATGATCGCAACACAAGAATTACCGAAAAGGTACGCTGCTCTTGAGCTGCTCTGCGCTGCTCAAGGATCAAGGACCGTGACAGGTCCGGATTTTCAAGTTTGAGTCAGAAGAGATAAGGGAGATCAACAAGCTTTAACGCAACAAGCTTTAACGATTTGAAAACTTTAAAAACGTACTTCCTTGGTGAAAGACATTGAACTGAACGATTCTGATAGGATAAAGTTTTAAAGTTTTAGTCGTAAGTTTATCTACTCTACAGGGTGATCAAGAATTACCGCAACGCAAGAATTACCGCAACAAAAGGCCTGGCTTTTCAACAAACATGCAACCCATCTCGAAAAGTTAACTTAAATATCTCTGGATCGATCAGATCTCTGGATCGATCAGATCTTTGATTTATTTAGTTTTTTTGTGTGTTTGGTTTTTTGGTTTATAAGAATTTTTTGGGTGGTTGGGTTTTTTGGGATTTTTGGTTTTTTGGGGTGTTTGGGTTTTGGGTTGGGTGGATTTTGGGGGGTGTTGGTTTTTTTGGTTTTTTGGTTTTTTTTGGGTTTTGTTTTTTTTGTGTGGTTTTTTTGTTTGTTGGTTTTTGTGGTTTTTTGGGTTGGTTATTTTTTTGGTTGGATTTTTTTTTGGGGTGGGTGGGAGTTTGGGGGGGGGGGGAAGGGGTGGTCGAGAAACGAGGCTTCTGGGGACATTCAGGCGCTTTGAGATCTAGCTCGCCTGAACACGCTGCTCAAGTCGATGTGGAGACGCTTTCACAATTCCTGAAAACAACGATACTAATGTCTTGAAAGTTAGTAATCATACCATAAAATAAGAAAAATACACAAAAACTATAAAAACAGGTAAGAAAAAAGTGAAATGAGGCTCATAACCTAATACGACGTTGTTTCGGTAATTCTTGGTCACCCTGTAAAGAGAGAAAACGATTCTCGTCCTCAGAAAATGTTTCCCGTCCTCAGAAAACGATTCTCGTCCTCAGAAAACGATTCTCGTCCTCAGAAAATGATTCTCGTCCTCAGAAAACAATTCTCGTCCTCAGAAAACGATTCTCGTCCTCAGAAAACGATTCTCGTCCTCAGAAAATGATTCTCGTATTCAACCATGGATAAACATTGACAATGAAATTACGATAATCTCTTTTAAATATACAAGTATTTTTAGGAATTTAGAATTTTAGAAGTTTAGAAGTTTTTGAACGAAAAATAAAGATAAGATTACGGTAGAAAAGGGCAAATTTTTTTTCAAATCAACATTTAAGAAAAGAAAACGGGGGTGGGACAAATGCGACCTTTTTTTGCGCACCTGGACATTTGCGCACCTTTTTTTTGCTGGAAAAGGCCTTAGGCAAGGCCGTAGAGCTTCGAAACTAGTTTCATACAAGGGAATCGTATGCGTAGATTCCGAATTTCGACAAATCAGACCTCGCTGACACGTCAAATTTGGCAAAAGTTGCTAAAAGCTAAAAGGCAAAAGCTAAAAGGCAAAAGTTGCGGAAAAGCGTTAAGTTGCGTAGTTTTTGCCTTTTAGCCCAAATTTGACGTGTCAGCGAGGTGTGATTTGTCGAAATTCGGAATCTACGCATACGATTCCCTTCTATGAAAACATTTTCGAAGCTCTACGACCTTTCCTAAGGCCTTTTCCAGCAAAAAAAAGGTGCGCAAGTGTCCAGGTGCGCAAAAAAAAGAATTTGTACCCCCAAAGAAAACATCAAACTCTAACCTTAAAACAGCCATGTTGACGGTAAGCCAGAGGCTGAGCGCGTGCACAAAAACGGAGACCATTGCGTAAAATTTCGTGTAAAGAAGCCAATAGTACGAGAAAAACCACGGATGACACTCGCCTACCTGGAAGAAAATTGATCTAAATTTGTTCTCATTTTGATGTATCGTTTGATGCATTAGTCTGTATCGTTTACAGAAAACTTATAACAAAAACGTCTGTTCTTTCTTTTTTTGCCATTGGCAATTTAAAGTTTTTCGTCTTTTTCTCAGCACCAATTATTCCAATTTGAATATCTTGACTATAATTCGATGCAGAATAAAATTGCGCATCGAATGACACCAAAATGAGCTTAAAATCTAACATCCATGCAAAGTTATTGGCTAAAAACCTAAACCCTATCTATTGTGGGCGGGGCCTAATATTTTGCCTTATAACTTTACATGGATATTAGATTTTGAGTTGATTTTTATATCATTCGATGCGCAATTTTATTCTGCATCGAATGATAGTCAAGATATTTAAATTGGAAGAGTTGGTGCTGAGAAAAACCCCAGAAACATTGATTGGTTCAACAGTGAAAAGTTCAACAGTGAAAACCAATCAATGCAGTGTATTAATCAATGTAGTAGCTAAGATTGTTGATAAATGCTACAGTAACCCAAGTAGTTACCACCGTAGTTGCAAAGATTACTGTAGATCAGCCAGGTCACCGCTGAGCCCAAGCATCTCTTTGGCTTATATTTCTTGTGGAGCCGAGTCTTTTCTTTTTTTATTGCTGTTTCTCTTGTATTTCCTTTTTCTTGGTTTCACGAATAATCAAGAATTCAGTGCATTAGGGAATCTGCGTTTACAACTTTCGAGCTTAAAGTACACGTTGAGAAAAAGTACAGTTGAAATTAGGGCAGTTCAAAAACTTCTGCACCGGCGGGGCTCGAACCCGCGACCTTCCGCTTACTGACCAACTCTGTTAACCATTACACCACAACGTACTTGATCGCCTTGCTTCAGAGGGGCTTAAGTCCAGAGAGAGTTAACTTTACACTGTTTTGTATTTCTAATTTTCTTTCCCTCCCCCTTGTATTCCCTCTTTCTTCTCTCGAAAATAGGTACTGGATAGCTCAGTGGATAGAGCGTTGGCCTGGAAAGCTGCCAGAGAGGAAGAAGGTCGAGGGTTCGATTCCTCTCCCGGAACTTTTCTTTCATTTTCCTTCCTTCTTTTGCTTCGCATTCCTTACTTTACTTTACTATCGTATCTAGTGTATTTTTATCTTCTTTTAACCGTTCTACCCTTTTAACCCTTCTTTTAACCCTTCTACCCTTTTAACCCTTCCACAAAGTTCATCAAGCATCGTCAAATAATCCACACGCAATCTCGTGTTTTTTCTTCTCATTTGTAGCCATTTCTTTTTCATTTCCCTTCCAGAGATCATTTATTTATGAATCGAAACGCGAAATCTCAAAAGAATTCGAAAAAAAATGCTTTTTCTTTGAACAAGTACTTTATGCTCATCTCTAAACGCATCGCGCACTGAATTCCACATTTTTTTCTCGCAACCCAATTACTTACTACAACATACAATTGCATTTGCAAAACCCTAGCTTTTATCTAAATTTATTGGGTTGGTCAAATATAGAGAAGGTGAAGGTGTAAAACTGTAAAAAGAAGGTGTAAAACACTTTGTAAATGCTCGATCAGAGTTTGGTTGACAAGAAAGTCTTTGGAACGATTTGAACTGGAATTTCTCAAAAACGAAACCACCAATTCCATTTGTTCTATTGGGTTGGTGCATTGAAAACTGCCGACTATTTCGCGGGACTCGCAGATAAAGAAAAGAACAGTATAGAACCAGTTGAAAGGGAGGTTTGTTTACTTCAACATTTCCTCTAATTATTGCAAAAAATTATGCTTGCAGGTTTTTATTTTTTGGTATTTTTCTTCACTTCTTCTATTGCACTCAACAATCTACCACCGGGAAATATTCGTCATGTCATGCTTCATGAGTTCCTAAAAAAGCACAGGCTTGGCAGCTGTTAATATTAAAAAGATATATGGAGAGGACTCACCTTCCGAAAGAACGTGTCAAGTATGGTTTGCCAAGTTTCGATCTGGGGACAAATCTTTGAAAGATACAGAGGGCCGTGGAGCGGCACCCCAATTGGATGATTCCAAATTGCTCAACTCATTACCAACGACCATCGGGTATCATCGCGTGAATTGGGAGAAGAGTTAGGGGTTGATCATGCTACAGTGCTCATCCCTTGGATTTAAATCGAAACTTGGGGCTTGGGTGCCCCATGACCTCACTGATCCCCAGAAGTGACAGCGCACCTCGATCAGTGCCGCCTATCTCTCACGATACGAAAGGAAGTCTTTTCTTTCTCGATGTGTGACAAGAGATGAGAAATGAGTTTTATCTGTGAACTTTCGGAGGAAGCGGCTATGGGTGGGACAGGAAACCCGGAAGTGATCCCAAGCCCGTTTTGCACCAGAAGTTATGCTCTATGCTTTTGGGATATGGAGGGAGTGATGTACTGGAAGGTGCTGGATAGCAAGAAGACCCTTAATTCAATCAAATGCAGTGAACAGTTGGAACAGTTGGAAAAGGTGAATAAATCCCTAAAGAAGTGTAGGCCCTCCAAGTCAAAGATCGTTCTCCTCCACGACAACGCGCGCCCTAAATGTTGCAAAACTGACTCGCTCTAAAATCAACGGCCTTGGTTAGGACTTTTGGCGCATCCCGCATACAGTCCGGACCTTGCCCTTTCTGATTACTATTTATTCTGGACTTTGAGCTTGCGGGAGAACACTTCGATTGAGAAGAAGTAGTTAAAAATTGGCTCCAAATGTTTTTCAATCCAAAACGAAAATCCTACGACGAAAGAGGAATGGGCAGAAGCTTGTAAAATGAGCAGAAGTTGTCAATAATAATGGCAGTTGTTTGGAATGAATTGATGGTTTTATGTTGAATCAATTTTAGTTCAAAGTCCCGCAGTTTTCAATGCACTAACCCAATAAAAACAAAACAATTGAACCTACATGTTTATATCCAAGATATGTAGCCATAAGAGTTGCATCACAGATCGCGATCGCCATCAGGAAAAGATTGAACGGATTTCGGCGCATCGCTGGTCGCAACAAGACGATTACTAAATATTTCTCTATTGTTTCAATACGTCTTTCATCTTATATTCAATCATTAAATTCAATCAAATGCCATCAAATGCCAATAAATCAGTAAATCAGTCTCAATCAGGTCAGGCTTTGATTCGGGAAAACTATTTCGGAAAACTATCAAATTCTGACCAAAAAGTTAGCATCACTCGTTGATTTTGTCAATCTAGAAACCCTTAATTCACTGATTTTCGCCGATTTTCGCCGATTTGGGGTCGTGTTTGACCAGTCGAGAAACCCGGCTTAACGCTTAACGCTTAACGCTTAACGCTTAACGCTTAACGCTTAACGCTTAACGCTTAACGCTTAACGCTTAACGCTTAACGCTTAAGAGCGGGTTTTTCAGGTAGCCGTTTTGTCGCCGTGGAGCAGTCCGCAGTGCGCTTTTTTACCGCCCACACGATCCGGGTTCGATCCCCCATAGTGCCACTCACTCTACGCCTAACACAACATGACACCAGCCGAAAAACTCGCTGGCATAGAGGCACTATGGGGGATCGAACCCGGATCATGTGGGCGGTAAAAAAGCACGCTGCGGACTGCTACACGGCGGCAAAACGGTTGTTACCTGAAAAACCCGCTCTTAAGCGTTAAGCGGAGTTTTTCGGATCGTGTGGGGCGGTAAAAAAGCGCTCTGCACGCAGTCGGAAGCGCGCTGCACGCAGTCGGAGGCGCTCTGCACGCAGTCGGAGGCGCTCTGCACGCAGTCGGAGGCGCGCTGCACGCAGTCGGAGGCGCGCTGCACGCAGTCGGAGGCGCGGGGGGGGGGGGGGGGGGGGGGGCCCAGGGGGAAAAAAAAAAAGAAAAAAGGAAAAAAAAAAAAAAAAAAGGGAAAAAAAAAAAAAGAGAGGGGGGAGGGGGGGGGGGGGGGGGGGGGGGGGGGGGGGGGGGGGGGGGGGGGGGGGGGGGGGGGGGGGGGGGGGGGGGGGGGGGGGGGGCGGAGGCGCTCTGCACGCAGTCGGAACCAAATTTACTGAGATAAGGAACCAAATTTAGAGAAATAGGGAACCAAATTTACTGAGAATGCGCTTGTTTACGGCCCGCAAGCAACCGTCTGCGATCCAGGTTCGACTCCCCAAAGCCACTCAATTTCGAATTGAAAAATTTTGATTTAAAATGACACCACTACAATAGATTCTAAGATTTTCTAACTAAGCTTTATTATTTAGCTTTAGCTTTTTTATTTAAAAGAAGGCTGAGCAAGAGCTCGTTAAAAAGCTCGTTGTTTGATTTGGGGAATAACGAGATTGGGAAATGAGTTGAAGATATGAAAAATAACAAATAAATCATAGATTGCATAATCTTGCGTTATTTTCTTTTAAATACATTATGCTTATCTCGCGTTATTTTCTTTTAAATACAGATTTCCCAGTGCTTATCCTTCACTTATTCTTCATTATTTCCATAGAAAAAAAGTTGATTTTGTTGATTTTGTTTACTAAAAAGAATTCAATGATGGTTTTTGGATGATTCAATGATGTCTTTTGGTTTTTATCTCAATTTCCCCATTCAGAAACGATCATTTTACAATCGCATTAACGAATTTCCTGTCAAACGCTTAAAACTTTCGAAAAAAGAAGCTCTTATAATTCTTGATGGGATTAAATTTCATTCAAAGTCAATTTCTAGACAATTTCTAGACGATTTTGACGATTTTGAAGTGATTTTGATTGAAATTCGTAGGATACCCCATGAAAGGGTTGGGAGTATCGTAGGATACCCCATGAAAAGGTTGGGAGTTAATCAATTGTGGAACCTTTTCGTGTTCTTGTTCGTTCGTGTTTGTGATTTTCGTGATATTCCCACCTTGGCTAGATTTAACTCCGTGAAAAGTTTCGGCAATTGTGACTTTAAATCTAGCCAAGACTGTTCTATCGTATTATCTTAGGATACCCCATGAAAAAGTTGGGAGTATTGTAGGATACCCCATGAAAACATTAGGGAGTATTTAAGAAAAAAAAAAAAAAAGGAAGGAAAAAACAAAAAAAGAATAAATAAAAAAAAGAAAAAAAAAAAAAAGAAAAAAGAAAAATGAAAAAAAAAAAAAAAAAAAAAAATATATATCCTAGGATACCCCATGAAAAGGTTGGGAGTATCGTCCAGAAAACGATCTTTTCGACGGTTCTTTCTTGAGGTATCTTTTTAACTTTTGGTGTGTCGTGTCCTGGGTGATTATTGTGATCTTGTTTTGTCGCTATTCAACTGAATAAAGCATATATACATGTTGTGTCCGATTTAGATTTCCGTCCGATTTAGATTCAATCTAAATCGGACGCCCGATTAAGATTGAACTTATCGCGGACGTCCGATTTAGATTACAGTCTATATCGGACGTCCGATACAGATCGAACAATAATAAACGTGCTTAATATATGTTCTTAAGCGTCCGATATAGACTGTAATCTAAATCGGACGTCCGCGATAAGTTCAATCTAAATCGGACGTCCGATTTAGATTGAATCTAAATCGGACGGAAATCTAAATCGGACACAACATATATATATCTACAGATCCAATTTTACAAATATTGATCATTCTAAGGTCAAATTTTGCGTAGATCGATAGGTTCTGATAAGCGCTTTTCGAGATTTCGAGGAATTTATGCTCGGCTCAGGGTGCTGTACTATTAGAGAGAATACGGTAAACGCAAAGTAAACAGATGAGTAAGCAAATCAATAAACAGACTCACCGATAGCCAAATTCGCGAAAACTCCGACGAGACAAAGTGGAACATAAAGATATTTGTGGATTACGGTAAACATCGTCAATAAAGTATCGAGTTCCTGAAAGAAAATAGATTATAATCTCATCTCTATCTTTATATCTTTATCTAAATTTAAATCCAATTTAAACACCTAAACATTTAAAAATCTAAAACAAAATCCTCTCTTTCCTCTCTCCTTTTGCGTTCTCTAATCGCTGAATTCACCTAATGAATTCTGTGTAGAGAATCAATAACTTTGGTAGAGATTTTCTTTGGCAAAAACGACGCAAAAACGAGGCCTATAACTTTTCAGAGGCAGGTGAAGGTAAAGTAAAGTAAAGTAAAGTAAGTTCTTGTAGGTTAACGGTAAAGTTCTCGTTGGTGCAGTCGCCATACTTTAAAGGCCTATAACTTTGTCCAGAGACAATATTTTTGTTAACTTTTTATATCATTGTATAGAGGATATTTCAGCCTTTCAAATGATACCAAATAGAGCTTGATTTGATAATCCAGTCAAAGAAAATCAGAGCTAACTCTAAGCCCTATCCGACCTATCCTCTCCTCTCCAACCCGGGTGTCGTTTCGCCTTGTTTGCATGAGAATGAACTCGAAAATAACTCAAAAATGTATTGGATTTGTAAGGATCAGATAGAGTAGATCATTAAAAAGTCGAAAAGATAGCAAACTATGCAAAAATCAAAAAGAAGTTTGAATGGCGGGTTTGGTCGGTCGCCGTGGCGCAGTCGTCACACTTTAAAGGGCTATAACTTTGTCCAGAGACCATATTTCTATTAAATTTTTATATCATTTTACAGAGAACATTTCGGCCTTTCAAATGATACCAAATAGCGCTTGATTAGACAATCCAGTCGAAGAAAATCAGAGCCAACGCAGCAAATGAGGCCTTTCCAACTCGGGTGTCGTTTCGCCTTGTTAGCATGGGAATGAAAAAGTCAATCAAGCTTTATTTGGTATCATTTAAAAGCTTGAAATATCCTCTGTACAATGATATAAAAAGTTAATAGAAATATGGTCTCTAGATAAAGTTATAGGCCTTCAAACCTGGCGGGCGACACAACACCCAAGTTGGAAAGGCCTAATGTTGGAGTTGGCTCTGATTTTCTTCGACTGGATTATCGAATCAAGCTCTATTTGGTATCATTTAAAAGCCTGAAATATCCTCTGTACAATGATATAAAAAGTTAACAAAATTATTGTCTCTGGACAAAGTTATAGGCCTTCAAAGCTTGATGAGTCGTTGAAAGACCCGGATTCTTTCAAAAGACCCAGATTTTTCCAAAATACTCGAATTCTTTCAAAATCCCCGAAAACTACGCTATTATACTATGCAAAAATCTTTGTTTTCCTCCTTTTTCCAAATCTCCTTCGCCTCCTTCACCTAACACACCAGATCTTTCAATCTTTTGGTTTAATTTTAATTAATTTTAATTCAACCTCAAACATTTTGTAACTTTTCCCCTTTTTTTATTTTTTATTTTATTTTTAAAGTAAATAAAGTTGGACAATGTACTCAAATAAAAAAAAAAGAAAATCGAATTTTCTGAGAATAATAATTTTTCATTTTTCCCCTTTCCCTAGTCGTCCAATTGAATGAAACGCCGAAAAATTGAAAATTTTAGAAAATTCTTTTAAAGAAGAAGTCTGGAAATTCTTGGAATATGAGTGAACTAATGAGATGGGAAATATTGAAAAGGAAAGGAGAGGAAAGGAGAGGAAGGGGAAGGGAAGGACAGAAAAAGATTTGCCTTAAATGATTTATTATATATTTTGAGTGCAAACGTCCAAGAGTTCTACCAAAACAACTTCCTGGATTTCATTTCTTTTTCTGAATCACCTAGCTAGCTCTCTAGACCTTAGCTCTCCAGGCCATAGTTCTCTAGACCTTAGCTCTTTAGACCCTAGCTCTTCAGACCCAAGCTCTTCAGACCCAAGCTCTTCAGACCCAAGCTCTCTAGACCTTAGCTCTTCAGACCTTAGCTCTCTAGACCGGCTCTTTGTTTGACTTTGAGCTTTGAGTAAACGTACTTTGCGCTCAGCTGTAAACGTACATTTCTAGTGCACACGAATTCTTCAGTTTTCGTACAATATCAAGACTTTTCTGAAAGAAAAATGACGAATTAAATACACTAGAAATGGTGGGTGTATCAATGAGCTTTATCAACCCGCAGAGAGCTATCAGAGAGCTATCAATGACCCTATCAACCCAAAGAGAGCTATCAATGACCCTATCAACCCGTAGAGAGCTATCAATGAGCCCTATCAACCCCTAGAGAGCTATCAATGACCCTTATCAACCCGTAGACAGCTATCAATGACACTATCAACCCCTAGAGAGCTATCAATGACCCTATCAACCCGTAGAGAGCTAGCTTTATCAACCTCGCATTGCGCCATCGTGTAGCCGAGTGGTTAACGCGTGCGTCTTTCAAACGAACGGAAGAGAAAAAGTCGAGCTTTATGTGCTATCTTTTTCATCTAATCATTTTCCCCAAATCGTAATAAATCTCTCAGTGAAATTCCCCTTCTTTTCATCTTTTTTTTAAAAGATTTTTCAAAAAGAAACGAGCAAATTTGAGCCAATTCTCAATTGAGTTTGTTCTTTTTGATGTTTCGTAAAGCAAAAAAACTCTACAAGATTGATTTTTGTTTAGTAAAAGTTTAGCAAAAGAAAACAAGATTTCCAGCAAAATAAATCGAGTCAAAGGGATGGAGCCAGGGTTTTCTGGGTTTGTAAATGTGAAAGCTTAGCCACTAGAGCTTAGTCACTAGAGCTTAGTCACTAGAGCTTAGCCACTATAGCTTAGCCCCTATAGCTTAGCCACTAGAGCTTAGCCCCTATAGCTTAGCCACTATAGCTTAGCCACTAGAGCTTAGCCACTAGAGCTTAGCCACTAGAGCTTAGCCACTAGAGCTTAGCCACTAGAGCTACAGCTTGGCCATCGCTTGGCCATCGCTTGGCCATCGCTTTAAAATCCCTTTACTTCATCCAACTCAAAAGTTCTTACGATTTTTTGTCAAATTAAAAAAAAATGGATAGCCGAAAAAATGCGATTTTCGAGCGGAAATTAGGGAATTAACGTGGGTTTTTTGGCTTTAAAAACAAGGAAATTGATGGAAATTGATGTAGAAAGTGTTTGGGAAAGATTTAGAGCAAAATTTAATATAAAAACTATTGGAAAAAGTTGAATTTCAAAGTTTTCAATGAAAAAGTTCAAATTTCAAAATTTCCCCCATTCCTTCTCTTTCAAATCTCATTAATAAGCGTTCAAAATTTTTCTCATTTTCTCTTCTTTTTTTCCTTTATCCACCTAGAAATTAGGTTTTTTTACGAAAAAATTCAACGATCTTTAGAAATTGGTAAATTTTAACTAAAAATTGGTTTAAAAATGAGTTATATATCAAGTTTAGGGCAACTTTAAGTCAATTTACGTAACTATAAGACTTCTAGAGACTTCTAGAGACTGCTGGAGACTTCTGGGGACTGCTGGAGACTTTTGGAGACTGCTGGAGACTGCTAGAGACTGCTGGAGACTGCTGAAGACTGCTAGAGACTTTTGGAGACTTTTGGAGACTGCTGGAGACTGCTAGAGACTGCTGGAGGCTTCTGGGGACTGCTGGAGACTGCTGGAGACTTTTGGAGACTTTTGGAGACTGCTGGAGACTGCTAGAGACTGCTGGAGGCTTCTGGGGACTGCTGTAGACTTTTGGAGACTGCTGGAGACTGCTGGAGACTGCTGGAGACTGCTAGAGACTGCTGTAGACTTTTGGAGACTGCTGGAGACTGCTGAAGACTGCTAGAGACTGCTGTAGACTTTTGGAGACTGCTGGAGACTGCTGGAGGCTTCTGGGGACTGCTGGAGACTGTTGGAGACTGCTGGAGACTTTTGGAGACTGCTGGAGACTGCTGGAGACTGCTGGAGGCTTCTGGGGACTGCTGGAGACTGTTGGAGACTGCTGGAGACTTTTGGAGACTTTTGGAGACTGCTGGAGACTGCTAGAGACTGCTGGAGGCTTCTGGGGACTGCTGGAGACTGTTGGAGACTTTTGGAGACTTCTGGAGGCTGCCGGAGACTTCTGGAGACTTCTGGAGGCTGCTGGAGACTTCTGGAGACTTTTGGAGACTGCTGGAGACTGCTGGAGACTGCTGAAGACTGCTAGAGACTGCTGTAGACTTTTGGAGACTGCTGGAGACTGACTGCTGTAGACTTTTGGAGACTACTGGAGACTTTTGGAGGCTTTTGGAGCCTTTTGGAATCTGTTTTGCAAAAAAACAGAAGGCCTTGGGCCGCCAGTGGATTGTACTGATCAAGGATTGTACTTTGTCCGTTTTAGAAACCGCACCGAATCTAGTGCTTTAGATTCCCTATTCTTTCAAGAACGAAAGCGGCTAAAGTCAGCCAAAAGAGTCCTGTTTACAAGAGCACAAAGTACACTTTCTAAACAATCATTCGAGTGCCCCTCATTTCCTCAATTTCCATTCCAATCCATTCTTCACTCGCGCCTTTTTTGTTCCTCCGTCACATCGATGAATTATTCCTCGACTTTTCCCTCAACTTTTCCCCTCATCTTTCCCCCTTTTCTTTTCAACTCTTTACTCATTTTTCTTTTCTGAATTTTCCTTATTTTTCTCGACGTTCATCCCTTCAAAAAATCGAAATCCAAAGGTTTTCTCATCGAAAATTTTTCGGTGATCACGCGGAGTGTTTAGGATTCAATTAAGGGAAAATTTATGACAAATTTTTGGAAAAAGGAGGAAAACAAAGATTTTTGCATAGAATAATAGCGTAGTTTTTGAGGATTTTGAAAGAATTCGAGTATTTTGGAAAAATCTGGGTCTTTTGAAAGAATCCGGGTCTTTCAACGGCTCATCAAGCTTTGAAGATCTATAACTTTGTCCAGAGACAATATTTTTGTTAACTTTTTATATCATTGTATAGAGAACATTTCAGGCTTTTAAATGATACCAAATAAAGCTTGCTTGGATAATTCAATCCAGAAAAATCAGAGCCAACTCCAACATTAGGCCTTTCTAACTTGGGTGTTGTGTCGCCCGCCACA